GTAAATGTAAATGTGTCTCTGGGGTCTCTGAGTCACTTTAGCACATCAAACCCAAGGAATGGTTTGTGGGAACCCCACTTACAGCCAGTTAGTCAAAAGCACAACTTCAGGCTTGCAATAGGCCACTGAAGGGGGCGGGAGTTTTTGGAGTCTGAGACTTTAACCTGTGGGATCTGATGCTCTGTCTAGGTTGATAGTGTCAGAATTGAATTATATCTTTAGCCCAGCACCATTTGATTGATAAAGTTTTCCCCACACTGTTACATGTGCAGTTGTAATTGGTTCAATTTCATTGCTGTATTGTGTTCTGTCAACATCCTAGCTTAATGTCTTTTGATAGTATGCATGAATTTAAAATTGTGGGTCACAGGCTATGTATATGTTCAGTAGATACTACCAGTTTTCTGAAGTAATTGTTACTGGTCATGGAGGGGAGGGTGGTTGCCGGAGCAAGTCTCTTGAGTTCTTTTCCTCAGCTCAGTATAGAAATAAAAAGCTGGGAAACAATTTGCAAAGAGGCAGAAACTTTTATTAGACAGAAAATAAACTTATTTGATTGGCGAGCGACAGAGAAAGCATCTGGTCCGAGAGGAGACCGGGCGGAGTGCCCGGACACTGGCTTTGAGGAAGTGCCCCGGGTTTTTAAGGCGGTTCTTTGAGTCCTACTGGGGGTGCCCATTGGACAGGGGTTTCACATGCATATGTTGAGTGCCTTGGGCTCCTGGAGGGAGCAGGAGTCTCCTGGAGACTGTCCGTGTCCTTGGAAGCTCAGCCCCCTCTCCTCTGCTAGCTCTGGGTGAAAGATGGCAGCCACCCTGGAGGTGTGATTTAAAACCATAAGGTCCACAAGATAGCCTGGGTCTCCTGGAACCAGTCTGCCTCCCCCAGGGGCCCAGCCCCTTCCCCTGCAGCTCTGAGTGGAAGATTGCCCCCACCCTGAGGTGTGAGTTAAAGCCACAAGGTCACACATGCAGCACAAGAGCTATCGTGCCGGGGGAGGTGCGCAGGTCTGGAGAGAGGCTTTCCAGCCCCAGCTGGCAGCCTACTTGTGAAGGACATTCTGCCTGTGTCTCAGGGGCCCACAGACCCCTAGCCCCACTGGCTGGCTTCTGTAGTTGTATCAAATTTGCATGCCCTTTGGCAATGTATAAGGTCTAGCTTCTCTGTATCCTCACTGAAATCCGACAAGACCCCCTAAAATTTACACTGAAATGTGGCCCCTTAAAGTTCCATAGAAATGCTATCCGGGGTGCCACATGTGCTACCGGAATTTGGGGTGCCTTATGATTTCACCACGGGCTTATTACTAAATCCCCGATATTAATAAGCCCAAGAGGGTTCTTGCCTAATATTTAGAGAAGAATTCTAAATACCGGCACAGATAAACGAGGCAGCATGGTACGTTTTAAGCTTTTATTTAGTGAGAAAGATGCATAGGAGAGTGAGATCTTTATTTAAGAGAGAGAGGTGAATAGGGGTTCATACTGAGCACCAGGAACCAGGCACATGGATGAGCATCTAGGCCTGTATCCGGGCCAGGAATCCTAGAGCACATGGCCCTAAGGCCATGCACCCTGGAGGTGCAGGTTTACAGCAAGCCCCCTCCTGACAAGAGGCCAGGGAAGAAGAGCAGACTGTATCCGGCTTTTAACCCACTTCCAAAGGGGAGTGGTTAATTAACCTGATTGGCTGGTGGGCACCCAGGTGTGGCCAGGTAGGGGAATGAGGCCACACAGGGGCATGGCAAAGGCATCAGGTAGGGGCATGAGGTCACACAGGGGCGTGGCAAAGGCATGGTTTTTCAGTTCACAAATCTAACAATTTTAGCCTGTATGTCTGCCTACTTCACTCACCACACATGGTATTTTACAGATGATTTTTAAATCCAGTTAATTAGTTCATATATTCATTCATTTACCTATTAAGTGCAAAGCACTAGAGGATGCAGATTGACAAGATTCTGAGATTCTTGCTGTTTTGGAATTTATCATTTTAATGTTAAAGCACAAAAAATAGGAAAATAAGACAAATAGCACATTAAATAGGAAAATAGTAATGGTGTTACTGCTTTGATAATGGAGTGGTGTAAGGATAGAAAACATAACTGGAGGGAAGTGTGGGTAACTTTCCTGTGGGTGTCGGTAAAGCCCTCAGAAGGAGCTTCTTTGGAGCTAAGACCTAAGCCGTTCTGCAAAGATGCAGGAAGGGATAAAAACTGCAGAAGTCTTGATGGCCCCAACAGCCTGGGTCTGTTTTAGGTTTGGGAAAGCAGGCCTGGGGTAGAGTGGGGAAGAGCAGGTCGTATGGCCCAGGGCCCGTCAGCCTTCTTCTCATAACCTCCTCAGCCTGGGATGAATCGCCCATTATTCTACACATACACTGGTCTCATTCAGTTCAACCCATGGCCTCCTAGAAAAGGAATATTAAATTTTTACCTTGGCTGGTTTTTGAAAGAGGATACCTGCTTTAATAAGGTATAGATTTAATAAGGTGTGGATTCAAAAGAACAGAGCCAGGGATCAGTGTTGTGACATAATGGGTAAACTACTGCCTGTACCACTGGTATCCCATATGGATGCCACTTTGTCCCAGCAGCTCTATTTCCCATCCAGCTGCCTGCTACTGCATGTGGAAAAGCAGTGAAAGACAGCCCATGTCCTTGGGCCCCTGCACCCTTGTGGGAGACCCAGAAAGAAGCTCTGGCTCCTGGTTTCAAATAGCCCAGCTCCTGACCTTGTGGCCATTTTAGGAGGGAACTAGCAGATGGAAGACCTTTCTCTGTCTCTCCCTCTCTCTGTAACTCTGCCTTTCAAATAAATAAATCCTTTTTTTTTTTTAAAGGAGTGTGGATTTTATACCCTTAAGGTATCCCATACATCTTACAATTATGCCAACAGTCCATCTATATGGCAATTTTTTACTTGAAAAAAAAAAAAGATTATTGTGCCAATAAGCAAAGTACTATAGTGAAAGTGACAAATTAGGTCACTTATCCTACAGTTATGTTATTCAAGAATTGTACAGAGGAAGTGCATATTTTAGCCTAGCAGTTAAGATAAGCACATCCCACATTAGAGTGCTTGGGTTCTGTGCCTGGCTCTGGCTCCTGGCTCCAGCATCCCACTGGTTTATACCCTGGGAGGCAGTCGTGATGTCTCAAGTAATTGTGTTCCTGCCACTCACAGGGTAGATTGCACCTAGATTGCAATCCTGAATCTTGGCTCCCACCCCAGCCAAGCCCCAGATTTGGGCATTTGAGGAGTGAACCAATGGATGGGAGCTGTCTTTCTTCCCCACCCTATACCTACCCTCTGTATCTATGTAAGTAAGTAAGTAGAAAGCATTTTTTTTTTTTCTAAAGAAAGAAACTAAAGAAAAATTGCTGGGAGATGTGGATTTGCTACAAAGAATAGTGATGATGTTCATGTCTTTTCAATGAGAGAGCTTAATGAATACTGCAGTCCACTTAAATCTTTTGTTTTGGGGCCGGAGCTGTGGCATAGTAGGTAAAGCCGCTGCCTACAGTGGTGGCATCCCATATGGGCACTAGTTCGAGTCCTGGCTGCTCTACTTCTGATCCAGCTCTTTGCTGTGGCCTGGGAAAGCAGTGGAGGATGGCCTAAATCACTGGGCCCCTGCACCTGTGTGGGAGACCTGGAGGAGGCTCCTGGATCCTGACTTTGGATTGGCCCAGCTCTGGCTGTTGCGGCCAATTGGGGAGTGAACCAGTGGATGGAAGACCTCTCTGTCTGCTTCTCCTTCTCTCTGTGTAACTCTGACTTTCAAATAAATAAATAAATCTTTTAAAAAAAAACTCTGTTTTTACCTTAGTAGTTTATTTTGCCTGATTTCAGTATGGGAAAGGCAAAAGTTTCAAATTTACTTTAACAGTTTCATGTTAAATAACATATATTGAAGGTAGTTTTATGTATTTCCTTGAACATTTATTTAGATTCAAACACTTTTTTTTTTTTTTTGACAGGCAGAGTGGACAGTGAGAGAGATAGACAGAGAGAAAGGTCTTCCTTTTGCCGTTGGTTCACCCCCCAATGGCCGCCGCACCGTGCTGATCCGAAGCCAGGAGCCAGGTGCTTGCCCTGATCTCCCATGCGAGTGCAGGGCCCAAGCACTTGGGCCATCCTCCACTGCACTCCCAGGCCATAGCAGAGAACTGGACTGGAAAAGGAGCAACCGGGACAGAATCCGGAGCTCCGACTGGGACTAGAACCCCGTGTGCCGGAGGCAGAGGATTAGCCTATTGAGCCACGGCACTGGCTAGATTCAAATATTTTACTAATTTTTACCAAAAGATTATTGGATATTAAGAACTCAGATTCATTTTTTATTTGAGCATAATTCTTTTACTTGTTTTTACTCCTCAGTCATCTCTGCTACTTATATTTACACTGTTCTTCTTAAAAATTACACTGATTTTAATAATAATATATTGTGAATTGTACTCTGAATGTACTTAATAGCAATCATTGTCGCATCGTTTGTAGGGTGTTTATTTACTAGTGAGTCAATATTGTCTCTTTGCTATTAGTTTCTTCAGAGTTTACTGAAAAAATACCTTTTTTCAAGAATAGAACTTTTTGTGGGTTTAAATGTTCCTAAATACATTGTGGGACGCAATGCCATTGAAATTCAGGGAGCCGTCTTGTGTGATTTGGATGTTGATATGCTACTCTAATTCTGTTGTTTTCAACACAGACTAAAAATATTGGTCTTTCTGTCAATAATTCAGACCCATTCCGTCAGACTGTGTTGCCAAAATTTAGCTCCATATGAAGAGCATGAAACTCGAAGGAAAGGGTTTTTATTTTTTTAAATAATTCAAATTTAGAATAAGGAATTGGCATTATTAGGACTAGTGGATCATGGTTTCCAAATACTTTGTAAAGAGGTTATGTTTGAATTTTTCATCCACATTTCTGTTTTTGCCATTAAAAATGTTCTCTTACCCAGATTTTTCAATACAAGCATTTTTTTTCTTCCAGCTATTCAAGGACTTGTCAGCTGCAAAGAAAAATCCTTCTGACTGCCAGAGCAGTACAGGTCAGCAATACTGGCATTTTTTCATGTGAGTGCAATAATGGACTTGCTAAGACCCATTTCTGTTCCCCCAGCTGTTTTTGTCTCCCACTCTAATTTCATTCCATCTCTTCAATGTCTGCATCTTATTCAGTACTCAACTCAGGAAACCCTTCTCCCCAAACAGCTGTAGGACCTGGTCTTCTACCTTCCAGTAATTACTCTGGGCTCATCATACTCATAGTTGTCCTTTCCTGCATTTATAATTTATCTCAATCTGGATTATAAACATTGTGAAGATATTTAAAGCCACAATATTGCTGTCTTTTTAATTTGACATTGTTGGCTATTTCACACACTTATTGTTGTGCCTTGTTTCTGGTAAGTACTTCTAGACATTTATAGTTTCTTTTCTTACTTGTTGACCCTCCAATTTTCCTGGGTAAGAAAAGATAAGGCATAGTAGATTATGTACAAAGATGATATTAAATTGTCTGTTTAATCTTCACAGAGCTGGAGATGTTTTCTAAGTCTAAAATGTGTGAGGAGTTTTAACAAAAAGGCTGAACCATTGAAGACAGGGATTGACTATGTCTTAGAATTCATCAGTGTTGTCTTGGTAACTTGGAGTGGGACTTTTTCACAGGACCCATGGCATATTACCTTACAAGGCTGAAGACCAGACAAACTTACTCATGGGTTGGCAAGCCATTATTGGATCAAAAGCTGCACTACCAAACCTACAAGTGAGTGATGGGGTCCTTTGGTTGTCCTAGAAATACAGCTTCTTATGCAAAACTGTTACTAACTTGTATTCAGCCCATTCTAGTCACTACTGGTGGAAGATTGAGGGACAGTATATATGAATTGTTTGTAAGGAGGGTTTTGTGTGATGAAAGGAAATACTAGCAGAACTGTAGCAGTTAATGTTAGGGGTGAAGTTGTGGTGGGTCTATAAAATTTGATATGCATGGCAATACCATATCTGTTTGAGGTGGATTTTATCTACCTCTTAGTAATAGCAAGATGAGCAACGTTGTAGAGCTCTTTTAATGATTTGATCTTGTTATTGGGTTGCTTTCCAGCAATGGGAGTCCCTTGATGTTCTTTGTCAGTAACTGAAGGAAGCTAAGGATCACGTTAAGGCCTCTGGATTCATCACCCATGCAAACACAATTTATTCAACCCATTTGTCTGCTCTTACTTTTGACTGGGTCAGTTGGTTTCCCAGTTAGGAGAGTTGATCAGCAGAGAGAACCATTTAGGTGGAAAACACTTCCTTTATGCCCAGGGTATCTAAAGAGCTTGGCCCACCCTAAGTAATTTCCTAACACATTTCTCTGTTACTTCCTAGGGAAATATGTGTGAAAATAGATGGTTGTTCTGACATTCATATCCAAGTTGGACAGTTTGTATTGATTGAAGGGGATGATGAAGAAAATCCATATGTTGCTAAATTGATTGAGTTGTTTGAAGATGGTGAGTCTGGGCTGCATTGATGACCATTCCTTGTTGCAAATGAGTTGAACGTATGGAAGAGGGGAGGCCGCTAATTTTGTGTTCACAGCAGCACACACGGCATCATAGATTGTGAGGTGGGGTCATGGAACTAGTAGTTGTTTCCTCTTCTGTCTAGAGAACTTCTTCACTCACTAGAGTATCACTGGGTTAGAGGGAAGTGGAAGGCTAAGAAGTTAGCTTTTTTTTTTTTTTTTTAAGGAGTGGGTAAGAATGACCATTAAGGCAGGGTTTTGAGGATGAAGAGAAAGAATGGATTATTTAGGAAGAAGGGAGAAGGAAAAAAATATGGAATTTACACCATCAAGGGGATGTGTGCTTTAATTTTGTCATGAGGACCTTAGTAACATTTTGTAAGTGAGCTTCCTTACACACAGAGGTAAGATGCATTGGGAGGTGCCTCTGGTGGTATGCAGTCAAGGAAATGAAACCACTGTAGGGGTTTTACTCAGAGGGTCTTGTGAGTAAGTATTGAAAAGGCTGGAGGAAAAGGTGCCGTTTCCCAGAGAACAGAGCGGGAAGCCACTCCTGTCTCAAGGCTGGAGAAGCTAAGGTAGCACTAACCGAGGAGCCCACAGTCACTGCCTCACCTGATGTTTGGAGCTACCCAACCCTCCAAAGACAAGAGGCATGCACAGAAAGGTAAGAATAGGGCATAGCTCCAACAGGAGGATTAGTAAGAAAGATGGTAATTTGTAGCTACACATAACTGCCTCTTCCTAGGGAAAGAGAAGAATTACTGTCTAATACAGTAGTTAGATAGTCCTGTGGCAATTTGTATGTCTAAGAGAAGGAACTGATAGAGTAGATGTTTTGCACTACTTAGAGACAGTTATGGAGAAAAACCGCACCAAACTAATATCCACTAGGGGGAGCACTTCCGCAGAAATGGGGACTATGTGTTAGGTTTTAGAATCCTTGTCTCCATTGGATGGCTGAGGACTTGCTATGAAGAGAATTAGGAAGAGGTGGGAACAGTGTTGGTGGCACTAATGAATGTATGGGCTTTCAGAAACTTGGAGCTGATGCTGGTATGGAGTGAGATTAGTGGCAATACAATAGTAAAGCTCAGGATAACAAGCGCACGTTTGCCAGAAAGCATCTGTCAGTGGTAGATGTATTAATTCTCTCTAGGATTTTTGTTTTGTTGCTGTTTGATGCCTTCTTTGTAATTGCTGATTTGCAACGTTCTTCTACCAAAGATTTGTTTGGTGCCTGTGATTAGAGTAGCTCTTCTAAAATACCTTTTGTAATTTTTTTTTTTTTTTAAATTTTTGACAGGCAGAGTTAGACAGTGAGAGAGAGAGAGAGAAAGGTCTTCCTTCCATTGGTTCACCCCCCAAAATGGTCGAAGCCAGGAGCCAGGTGCTTCCTCCTGGTCTCCATGCAGGTGCAGGGCCCAAGCACTTGGGCCATCCTCCACTGCCCTCCTGGACCACAGCAGAGAGCTGGACTGGAAGAGGAGCAACCTGGACAGAATTTGGCGCCCCAAGCGGGACTAGAACCGGGGTGCCGACGCCGCAGGTGGAGGATTAGCTTAGTGAGCTGCGGCGCCGGCCACCTTTTGTAATTTTTTTGTCAAGTAATAGCACCATTAAGGAAGTGGAACACCTGGAGAGAGGCAGGGGTGGAGTGGAGTCAGATTGCTGGCCACTGGTCCTGTGATCTTTGACTAGTTATTTAAGGTCTTTGTAGGCTTTTTTTTTTTTTTAAGATTTATTTATTTGAGAGGCAGATTCACAGACAGAGAAAGGGAGATACAGAGAAAGAGAGCTTCCATCTGCTGGTTCACCCCCTAAATGGCCGCAATGGCCAGAGCTGGGCCAGTCAGGAGCCAGGAGCTCTCTCCAGATCTCCCACGTGGGTGCAGGAGCCCAGGCACTTGGCCATTCTCCCCTACCCTCCCAGGCCACCAGCAGGGAGCTGGATCAGAAGAGGAACAGCCAGGACTTGGTATGCCTACCTGGGATTCTGGTGCCCAAGTGGAAGCCCAACCCACCACAGCACAGCACCAGCCCTGGTCCTTGCCAGTTAAAGGGCGATACCCACAGTACCTACCTAGTAGAGTTATCATGAGGATTAAAGATGGTACATATCAGGGGCTTAGCATGGTGTCTGGCACAGAGGAAGTGCTCAACGACACGGGCTCACGTTTTCTTTCTGCCGAATCCTTCCCAGATGGTGAACCTCGTTCTAAGAAACGTGCTCGAGTACAGTGGTTTGTCCGATTCTGCGAAATTCCTGTCTGTAAGCGGCATTTGTTGGGCCGAAAGCCTGCTGAACAGGAGCTCTTCTGGTACGATTACCCTGCGTGCGACAGCAACGTTAGTGCTGAGACCATCATTGGCCCTGTGCAGGTAGGCAGTGCCTTCATCCTGGGTTCTGTCTTGAGGCTTTTTTTCTGTCTGCTTCTTAAACTACCTGACCCCAAAAATACGACTGGCTCCAATTTACCCCATGGCAAATGTATTTTTCCCTGTCATCTTCTCTGCCTTCTTATTAGCTTCATCAAATGTTTATTGGGAGCACAGATCATGCGTTAGGAGCCTTCTGAAAATGACATTTATGTTATGACCTGAGCGATGAATAGGTATTAGTAAATGCATCCCAGTGAAATATTATATTCAGCTATGATTGTGGTAGGCATGAAGCATTGTGAAGATGAATACTCTTTTTTTTTTTTAAAGACATTTATTTATTTGAAAGGCAGTTAGAGAGAGGAGAGACAGAGAAAGAGGGAGATAGTATCACCCATCAGCTGGGTCAGGCCAGAGCCAAAAGCTCCTTCCTCGTCTCCCACATGGGTGGCTGGAGCCCAAGGACTTGGGCCATCTTCCACTGCTTTTCCCAGGCCATCAGCAGGGAGCTGGATCAGAAGTGGAGCAGCCAGGACTGCCAGCCATAAGCTAGCACTGCAAGCGGTGGCTTAACCCACTGAACCACAGTGTCAGCCCCTGAATACACCTGCTTAAATGAGGACTTCACTTTGAGACCATCAGTAAAGAGAGTGCTAGTTGTTATAGGCCAGTTTGTATAATGGGATTTTGTGATAAATCAAAGGAGCCATGAGCTGCTATTTCCAGGCTGGACTGAAACTCTGGTTTGGAAACTAAATGTGTGTGTTATTCCTGTAGCTACTTCAGGCTCCCCACAAATGGAAACTGGTCATCACGTGAAGTGTGGCTGTATGGTGGATAGGTAGTTGGGTTTATGGACGGAGCAGAGAGATTGGTCTGGTATGACTACAGTAAATTACCTGAGTCCAGAGATTGAAGGAGAGAGAGCTGAAGAAGGGAAAGGCAGGTGCAGAAGCTGAAGTGCAGAATAGGTTCGGAAAGGTAGGGGGATGCGTTTGGGCAGATGCTCCACAGTGGGAGCTGTGCTGGTGGTGGAAGGCCGTTGCGAGGAGTGCTTGGCGCTTTGTAGCTTAGGATGAGGCCGGAGTTCAAAAGGCATTCAGAAATCAGGGTAAGTAATTTGAGCCTGCTACGGTGTTGGGCTGTTATTGACTGTTAAGCAGGAGAGCAGGTTTAGAGAAGTTTCCATGGGTGAATAGAATGGACTGGAAAAGAGAACAATGTAGGATATGGATATCAGCCAGGAGGCTTCTAGAAATGATTGATGCATGAGATGATGCGTAGTTGAACTAAGGTGATAGTGAGAGGAATTAAGAAGTGAAGCCAACATTTTAGAAAGTGAAATGAGGAGTAGTTTACTATATATTTCATGATACCTTTAAAGCTGTTAATGATTAAATGAGTGAATGTTTTATTTGTATCGATAGATACACTGTACTGTTCCTGTTGGAACCATAATGTTCCAAATACATTTGTGGACATTAACTGTTTTTAATCATAGCTCTGATGGAGTATTCCTTGGCTTTTTTTTTTGCTTCTCTTCCTCTTCACGTGTACTTCCTAAATTCAGGTAGTAGCTTTAGCCCCAGATGAAGTATTACCTATGGATCTGAAAAATGAGAAGACATTCTTTGTGAAACTATCCTGGAATGAAAAGTCATTCAAACCACTGTCCCCTGAACTGTTTGCGGAGTTGGACAAACCAAAAGAAGGCAGCCCCAAGTGCCAGAAGCCCATAGAAGCGAAGACTAAGGGTGTAGAAAGCCCTTCTTCAGCCACAACAGAACAGGTGGTCAAGAGGATTGAATTAAGACACTCGGCCTCTAAATCCCGCCAGACTCCACGTGCTGTCACGCCCACCGCTAGGAAGAGGCTGGAGCTTGGCAGTAAGTGTGGAAAGGGCTGCAGTGGGCAGTACTGGGACTAGAGGACTGTGATAAGATACATACCAGAACACTGAGTTGGTGCAGCGGTGGGCCAGGTATAATGGTGGGACATGTTGAGGTAGGTACAAAAGTTTTACCATTTTAATCGCCTTTAAATGACAATAAGTACATTAACATTGTTGTGCAGCTGTCACTGTCAGCTTCCATATATGAAATTCTGTACCAATTAGGCTACAACTCCCCTTTCCCCAGCCCCTGGAAACCACTTTCCTATTTATTCCCTGTTTTTTTTTCTATAAGTGGAATCATACACTATTTGTCTATTCATGGCTTATTGATTTCATTTATCAACATGTCCTCCAAGTTATTTCATGTTGCAGCATGTGTTAATTCCCTTTCTTTTTTCAAATACATGATACACCATTGTATGTATACATCTCATTCTGTTTGCCCATTCATCCATTCAAGAGGGATCTTTTTGGCTGCCATAAATAATGCTGCCATGAATACAGATAGAACAGATGCCTCTGGGAGATCTCGTTTCCAGTTCTTCTGGGTATATAACACAGAACTGAAATTGCTGGGTCATATGCTGATTCTATTTTTAGTTTTTTTAAGAAACTACCACTACTATCTGTTGGTTCATTTGCCAAATACTTGCTGTGTCCCTGAGCTGGACTGCCCAAAGCCAGGAGCTAGGAATGCAGTCCAGATCTCCTATGTAGATGGTGTGGATGGCAGGAACCCACTTACTTGAGCCATCACCACTGCCTTCCCAGGGTCTGCATTAGCAGGCAGCTGGAATCAGGTGCTAGAGCTGGATTTTGAATACAGGCACTTTGGTAAGGGACCCAGGCATCCTAAGTGGCATCTCAACTGCTAATCCAAAGGCAAAGTTACAGAGTGAGAGAAGGGGAGACACAGAATCTTCCATGCGTTAGCTTACTCCCCAAATGACCACAACATCTGGGGCTGGGACAGGCCAAAGCCAGGAGCCAGGAGCTTCATCCAGGTCTCCCATGTGGATGGAGCGGCTCAAGTACTCAGGCCATCTTCCTCTGCTTTCCCAGGCACATTAGCAGAGAGCTGGATCTGAAATGGAGCAGCTAGACTTGAACCTATATGGGATGCAGGCACTGCAGGCAGTGTCTTAACCTGCTGTGCCACAGTGCTGTCCCCTATTTTGTTTTTTGATGCTTGCCATCCTAATAAATGAGATTGTGTCTCATTTTTGTGGGATTTTATTTCTTTTCCTTTTATTAATATTATTTCTAATCAGCAAATCTTAATTGTGTTACATTTATTTTGCCACTCACATGGAAGAGACAGACCTACCTTGAATATGGAGCTCCTGACTTCCACCTTGTATAGCCTTAGATGTTATGGACATTTGGGAAGTGAATCAGCCTTTTGAATGAAATGAAAATAAATAAAATTAAAAACTACCCTTTCCCCAGCCCTTGCTGACCACTGGTCTATTTGCTATCTCTATAGTTTACCTATTCTGGAATATCTTTTTCATGGAAAAATGCAATTAAAAAATGTTTATGACTGGTGCCCTTGCTCACTTGACTAATCCTCCACCTGCGGTGCCGGCACCCCAGGTTTAGTCCCAGTTGGGGCGCCGGATTCTGTCCTGGTTGCTCCTCTTCAGTCCAGCTCTCTGCTGTGGCCCGGGAAGGCAGTGGAGGATGGCCCAAGTGCTTGGGCCCTGCACCTGCATGGGAGACCAGGAGGAAGCACCTGGCTCCTGCCTTCGGATTGGCGCAGCGCACCGGCCGTGGTGGCCATTTGGGGAGTGAACCAACAGAAAAAGGAAGACCTTTCTGTCTGTCTCTGTCTCTCTCACTGTCTAACTCTGCCTGTTAAAAAAAATGTTTATTTTGGTGGAAAAAAAATTTGAAATCTATGCGTATGAGGAGCTTTCAAAGTTCATGGAACTGCGTACTATGAAAACAGTATGCATTTCGGTGTTTCTTTTTCCAAGGTAAACTTCATTATCTTTTCATTCCATTTGCCACGAACACTTTGACATACCTTGTCAAGTTGGCATTCTGTAGTCTGTAGCCTTTGAGAGAGACTCCTTTCACTGAGCTCTGCATTTGAGAGTCGTTATTCTGTTTCACGTGTCAGTAATTTGTTCCCTTTCTGTTGCTGTGCAGTAGCCTGTTGTAGGGATTTACCACAACTCGTCCATTCCCAGTTTGAGGACGTTTTTGTCGTTTCTGGTTGGGGGTGACTATGAATAAAGGTGCCGTAAAGACTCGTGCCCAGGTGGTGGGTAACTTCTCGGGCCTTGCCTGCAGCTGCGCCTCCCCGGGACTGCAATGCCCGGAGCTCGCCTGCTTTGCTGCCGTAGCTCATTCTCCTCACGTGACCGCTCTCCTTCCCCTTTCAGCTCAGTGCAGATTTTACTCCTTCAAGATCTATCTCAGGTGCCTTCAGACACTTATTTCGCTCCATATCACAGATGCTTGTGCGGACTCTCTGCCGAGTCACACCAGTGTCATGTGAGTCGAGACAGGTTTGAGTCTCATTGAACCTTGTTTCCACCTGGCACCCTGCCCTTATAATAGGTCTGTTGGTTGCTCTCAGTGAATGGCTGGGATGCTTGGTTTTGAGGTCCTGCTGAGGGAAGAGCAAATCCACATGGTTCTGTGTAGCCTCAGAACCCAGTGACTGTCCCCAGGGATCCCTCCTGCCTCTATTGACAGATATAATCTTGGATTTGGGGGTCTTCAGTAGCATCACTGATACGGATTTCTTCAAATGCTGTTGAGTAGGTGGGGAGAGTGCACAGTTCACTCCAGTTGAGGCCCTCTTCTGGTCTGCTGTTTCAAGGAACTTTCTGAACCTTTATCCACAAAAGCTGACTTACGTATTGACATAGGTTTCGAATTAGGAAAATCGCTCGTGAAATTAGGCAGAAAGACAGAAGATGACTAGAGCTACCTGGACTGCGGAGAGAAAAGCATGGACTTATCACAATATGAGGAATTTGTATCTTTATACACTTTCAGGGGATGAATTCAGCTATAATGAAATTGGGGATTATCTGGCTAGGTAGGTATAAAACTCCTACACTGTTGATGGTGATCTCTCTTGGGTTTAGGTGTCCCTGGGATGGCTAACACTAGGAATTCCCAGCAGCCTTCCTGCGATTCCTTGGGTTCTCCAGGAAGAACTAAAAAGAAAGTGGCCTCCTCTGAGGTCACCTTGCCTTCTAAGAGGTCTCACCCTGACAGAATGGACACCGCGTCTCCAACTCTGAGAGGCCCACAGAAAACTGGAAAGGTTCAACTCATTTGTACCCAGGGTGAGAATAACAAGGCTTCATATGAACGCCACAGAAACCTGAGGACCCGAGTCCCACCTTTGAGAAGCACAGAGATCAGTGACAAGAGAACACTTTGCCCTGTCGGCGGTGGCCAGAAATCCTCCACGGTGCCTTCTGTGATTCTGAAACCAGAAAACATCAAAAAAAGGTGACTGACCAGGGACCTTACTGTGTTCCCACAGAGCAAATCAAGACCCTTCACGTGATGTGAAATGTATGGGTCATAGGCAAAAAGTCAGAGCAAGGAGTCACTGACCTGATTCTGTCACAGAAACACTAGGGTACTTTTCTAAAAAGCAGATTTCTAAGCCACCTTCTCAGACCTTGTGACAGGAATCCATATTTTGAAAAACTTCCATGATTCTGATATACCTAGCTGTCACTTGGGCATCACTGCTGTAGAAGGGAGTTTCCCAAGCCCATATTACTTCACAGTTCCAGATTTTGTTTGTTATTTTGGCTCTTTGCCACATCTCAGTCATTTTTTTTATTTATTTTTTTTATTTTTTAAGGTTTGTTTTGTTTGAAAGGCAGAGAGAGAGAGAGAGAGACAGGCTTCCATCTGCTGGTTCATTCCCCAAATGGCTGCGTTGGCCAAGGCTGGGCCAGTCTGAAGCCAGGAGCTTCATCTAGGTCTCCCACATGGGTGGCAGGGGCCCAAACACTTGAACCATCTGCTGCTGCTTTTCCCAGGCACATTAGCAGGCAGCTGAATCAGATGTGGATCATCCAGACATGAACTGGTGCCCATATGGGATGTTGGCTTGCAGGTGGCAGATTAGCCCATTATGCTACAACACTGATCCCTAGCAGTCATTTTTTAAATCGGTTTATTTTTTCTCCCACATATAGTACAAGAAGATAATACCAATACATCTAGAAAAAACTTTGCAGTTTGACACTAGATAAGATGTATAGATAATGGACTGTATAAATAAAAAATAAAAACCTCAAGCCAGAAATTTTCATATTTCACTGTTTCCTACCTAGAAACTCTAGCACCTGGCCCATGATATGTTGCAGAATACATGCCTTACATTATATAGCTGTATTTCTGCTAACCTTGAGCCTCGGTGGACAGGAAATTCATAGATGATCAGAAGCAAGGAAGGACCAGAAGCTGCCTGAGATCCATGTATTTTGGTTTCTAGAAGGTGCTGCCTGATTTAAATGAGAAGTTTAAGACAAACTTTGATCTCCAGGTTTGAATGAAGCCTCAAGTACATACCTTTTGGCAAACAATGATTAGCTTTCTACAAAGTAGTTGTAAAAAGAACAGGAGCCAGCCGGTGCCGTGACTCAATAGGCTAATCCTCCGCCTTGCGGCGCTTGCACACCGGGTTCTAGTCCTGGTCGGGGCGCCGGATTCTGTCCCGGTTGCCTCTCTTCTAGGCCAGCTCTCTGCTATGGCCCGGGAGTGCAGTGGAGGATGGCCCAAGTACTTGGGCCCTGCACCCCATGGGAGACCAGGAGAAGCACCTGGCTCCTGGCTTCGGATCAGCACAATGCGCCGGCCGCAGCACGCCGGCCGCGGCGACCATTGGAGGGTGAACCAATGGCAAAAGGAAGACCCTTTCTCTCTGTCTCTCTTGCTCACTGTCTACTCTGCCTGTCAAAAAAAACCAGGAGCCAAGCAGGCCTCCTGACTCTTCTAGCATCTGTTGTGCATCCCAGGTGATCCAGACTGTTTCCTGTAACCTTGCTGTGATGTCTTGTAGGGAGGCAAAAGAACCAGAAGCCCTGAATGAAGCTTCTTCCACTTCCCATCGTGTCCGCAGAAGGAGTTCTCTCTTGACTTTGAATCGGATTAGGCAGCAGCTTCGGTAAGACTGCTCCTTGAGACAGGAAGACATCCCTGCCAGCCGTGATGTCTATAATCTCCCTTAAAGCCTCACGTATTGTTTGTTATTCCATTGAAATTCAGCATGTCTGGAATTAAGTTATTGTTTCACACAGATGTCATAAAAGGCATGAAGTACTTCCCTGAGCTCAGGTGGCACCTGTGCTCCCATAATCACTGTGCCCAGCAGGGCTGGTGCTGGGGTGGGATGCCCAAGAACAGGGACCTGGGTTAGAATCTAGGGTTTGTTGCTTACTACCTGTGTAACTGGGATGGTTACTTAGCCTTTCTAAGCCTCCATTCCTTATGTATAAAATAGGAATAATAATATATGGGTCACAATGTTGTGGAGTGCTTTAATGAGACAATAAGGTCCTTTATAGTGTGTCTTAGTAGCAGGCGCCCAAGAAGTGGAGCAAATCCTATATTACCTGATGGCAGGAGAGATTGCAATACCTCTAATCCAAATCAGCCTTTCTGGATTTTTTATTTAGACTTGAACACCAAATAACAGAAAATAACCTGCTCCCACCATCCAGGTTTCTAGATAATGGTAAATGTGACCAAGAAGAGGAAGAGTTCCTGCCAACAGCAGAGATTTCTGTGTCCAGCAGTGACAGTGAGCAGGAAGAGGTTGCCACACCACCCCTTACACGGAGAGCACCTAGAAGTGTGTCCAGGAACCTACGATCTACCTTGAAGTTGTCCTTAGAGATTCCCTCCAAAACACCACAGAAAACAGTAAGGTTCTTTTAGGTTTGTTTTCCAGGGAAACACTCCTCTCTTAGTTTAAAGTCAGGGTTGCTGAGGTATACAGTTACATAGTAGCAGCAGGATTGTGAGTCCAAGAGTGCTACATTTACAGCTACTCCTCTTGGACTATTTATGGAGAAAAATACCTAAGTAAACCCTAGTACTGAAATGAATCCAATAGATAGAGTATTTTAAGTTCAAGTTATTTTCTTTTAAAAATTAGTTAATTAGTTAATTTATTTGACAGAAGAGCTTCCAACCACTGATTTAGTTCCCAAATGCCCACAGTGGTCAAGGTTGGGCTGGGGCCAAAGCCCGATACTGGGACACAATCCATGTGGGTGGCAGGGATGCATTTACTTGAGCCATCACTGATGCTTCCCAGGGTGTGCATTACATGAAGTGGGATCCAGAACTGGGGATCGAATCCGGGCACCTCCATGTAGTATACAGGCATCTTAATTGGCACCTTAGCTGTTAGGCTAAATGCTCAACCCTTAAGTTCTTTTTTATTTAAGATTTATTTAGGGGCTGGTGCTGTGGTGTAGTCAGTGAGGCTGCCGCATGCAGTGCTTGCATCCCGTGTATATCTATATCTTTTTTTTTTTTTTTTTAAGACTATTTGAAAAACAGTGTTACAAAGAAGCAGAGAGAGAGAGAGAGAGAGGTCTTCAGTCTGCTGGTTTACTCCCTAAATGGCCGCAACGGCTGGAGCTGTGCCAATCCAAATCCAGGAGCCAGGAGCCTTCTCTGGGTCTCCCATGCAGGTGTAGGGGCCCAAGCACCTGGGCCATCCTCCACTGCTTTCGCAAGCCATAGCAGAGAGCTGGATCAGAGTAAAGCAGCTGGTTCTTGAACCGGCGTCTATATGGGATGCTGCCACTGCAGGTAGCAGCCTTACCTGCTACACCACGTAAATCAAATATTTTTTTTTTAATTTATTGTTTTATTTTAGTAATTTACTTGGAAGGCAGAGTTAGAGAGAGAGGGAGAGACAGAGATATCTTCCATCCACTTATTCACTCCTTAGATGGCCCTAATGGCAATAGCTGGGGCTGGGCAGGCAGAAGCCAGGAGCCAGAAGCTTTTTCTGGATCTCCCACAGGAGGGCAGGGGCCCAAGCACTTGGCCCATCTTCCACTGCTTTTCCAGGCACACTAGCAGGGAGCGAGATTGGAAGTAGAACAGCCAGGACTAAAACTGATGCCCCCATGGGATGCCTGTGTCACAGGCAGTGGCTTAACCACAGCGCTGGCCCCATACCCTTAAGTTCTTTTTAAGATACAGAATCAAATGGCCAAGTCAGACTTACTGAGAGAAGTAAAAACATGACTCCTTTGCATTGCTCACAGAGAATGTTAGAGTATTTGGCACATAATCAGTGCACAACAGGTATAGAATCCAGGACTGCTGAGTCATGTTGTTTTGTTGTCTCACTTGATACACCTGAGAAACTGGGAGCACAACTTAGGTTTTGGTAATGAGTTATGCAATGTTAACGAGTTATATAAGATGGGAGACATAAGTGGAGTCTTTTTGTCTTGCTCTAGAACATTAGCAGAACATTGTTATGTTAGGAAAAGGGTCTTCTCAGGTTCAGGTGAGTTTGAGTGATGTTTGGATTAAATAAAGTTCAAGTGATGGTACATTTTGTTCTGTGGGACACACTTTGAAAATGCTTAATTAGAAGATATTTTCTGGGGCTGCACTGTGGTGTAGTGGGTAAAGCTACTGCCTGCAGTGCCAGCATCCCATATGGGTGCCAGTTTGAGTCCTGCCTGCTTCATTTCCGATCCAGTTCTCTGCTATGGCCTGAGAAAGCAGTGGAAAATGGCCCAATTCCTTGGGCCCCTTCACCTATGTGGGCGACCCAGAAGAAGCGCCTGGCTCCTGGCTTCATATCGGCGGAGCTCCAGCTGTTGCAGCCAATTGGAGAGTGAACCAGTAGATGGAAGACCTCTCTGTCTCTTGTGCTCTCTCTCTCCTCTCCTTTTCTCTCTGTGTGACTCTGACTCTCAAATAAATAAATAAATAAATCTTTAAAAAAAAAAGGATTAAGGCCGGCGCCGTGGCTCACTAGGCTAATCCTCCGCCTAGCGGCGCCGGCACACCGGGTTCTAGTCCCGGTCGGGGCGCCGGATTCTGTCCCGGTTGCCCCTCTTCCAGGCCAGCTCTCTGCTGTGGCCCGGGAGTGCAGTGGAGGATGGCCCAAGTGCTTGGGCCCTGCACCCCATGGGAGACCAGGAGAAGCACCTGGCTCCTGGCTCCTGCCATCAGATCAGCACGGTGCGCCGGCTGCAGCACGCCGGCCGCGGCGGCCATTGGAGGGTGAACCAACGGCAAAGGAAGACCTTTCTCTCTGTCTCTCTCTCTCACTGTCCACTCTGCCTGTCAAAAAAAAAAAAAAAAAAAGGATTAAAAAATAATGAACATATTTTCTAAAGCTGACCTCTATTTTTCCATATCAAGATGTAATTGGGCTTGGGTTGAAGGCAATGAACAATCTTTAGGGAAGGGAATCCAGTAGATCATATTTGGATCACAGACCTTCTTACCTGGAGTTCCTCAAATATGTAAAAAGTTCACCTTTGTTGTAGTTTGATTGAGTCTCCTGGGTCCCGCCCAAAAAAAGGGACATAGACTGTAGGCAGCTTCAAATTAATGAAAGTTGTCACAGGGCCACCAAGCTTCCTGATACCTTCTCAGCAACGTTTTGTTACTCCTTTCCCGTTTTCTCTATAATTAATGATTGTGAAACCTTTAAATAGCCAGGCTGTAAATGCCCCCTGCCTGAGGAAGGAGTTATCAGGCTGGCCCGACTGGTATCTGAGGGTGGGTAGAGGGAGATGCCTTACAGCAGGAAGCACCTTGTAGAATTACCATGGAGAGGAGGCTGGCAGGAGCAGGTCTGTCTGGTGCGCCTCAGCAAGAAAGCAAAGAAGGGGGCTGTTAGCCTCACGCAGGCAGTGGCCCTTGGGGTTTGGTAGGAAAATCTGGCAAGGTTTCTCCAAGTGCTGCCTCATGGGTTGTGGAAGTCCTGAGCTTAAGCACATTTCCAAATAAACCTAGACAAAGCTCTTAGGAATCAAACCCAGTGTGTGCCTCCCCTTTGACCCTGTATTTGAGCAGAGTGGTTTGGGTTTCTTAATAATCCACTGTCTTTCAAGATAGTATTTATACTTCTTTCTTTTCTTAAATTGACATTGTTTTCAAATCCTGACGCTGTCTGTGAATTAAGAAAAAGAAATGGTGTTTGGGTTTCGGTTAGGAGCAAAAGTGTGTGTGTGATCGGAGGTGAGAGAGGAAGAATACTGCTATTTCACCCAGGATGGGGCTAAGAAGAACGCGCCGCCTCTCCTTTTATCAGATCTGAGTGAATCAAAATTGCAGATGTGTCCCGGATGGTGTTTGGTTCTGTGTTTTCCTCCTGAAATATTTGTATTTGTTTGCTTTTGAATATAGCCCAAGCCTAGAACGCCATTCCGTGCTACCCCTCAGATCCGCAGCCGCAAGCTGGCCGCCCCGGGGCCATCCAACGTGCTGGAAGAAGCCCGGCTGAGGTAAGGCCGTTCTTGGGTTTGTTTCAGGTTGGCAGAAATAATAAGGCCTCTGCTTCATTCACATAAAACCAGAGCAATTTGTAGACTCTTGTGTACGTAATAAAGGGAGCGAATAAAAGGAACATGAGTGTTTGTTAAGAAAGAAGAAACTTACGCAGCGTGAGGGTGAACCAAGGCAGACAGACTCTGGAAGGAGTCACCTTCCAGTCTGGGGGCGGAAGCTCGTGAGTCAGGATACTGCTAGGTCCTGGTACCTTGAGAACCATGTGGGGACTTCCTTAAAGTGCAAAGCTTGGAAACCAAGGGTGTCTGAGTCTCTAGTGTGATGGTCCCCTTGAGTGATCTGACTGGGGAAAGAGTCCAGGGATCATGAGGTTACATGAAGAAATCTGAGAATGAAGGCATAACCTTGCCTTTGTGATTGAGTTGCCATGTGGAAACTGGATAAGTCTTTCCCACTTCCTGTTGAGAAGGTGGAATCTTTCTGAAGCCCTCTTCTTCCTTTGTTTATTGCCAACCGTAGGCTGCATGTTTCCACTGTACCTGAGTCTCTGCCCTGTCGGGAGCAGGAATTCCAAGACATCTACAGCTTTGTGGAGAGCAAACTCCTCGACCATACTGGAGGGTGAGTGGTGCCGAGGCAGGTAGGGTGGTGTTACCTCCCCACAGGTTACAGTTCAGCCAGATTTTCTTGGCCCAGCATCAGTAGACAAAATCAGGGAAGAAGCCTAAAGCGTCTTTTTTTTTTTTGACAGGCAGAGTTAGACAGTGAGAGAGACAGACAGAGAGAAAGGTCTTCCTTCTGTTGGTTCACTCCCCAAATGGCTGCCACGGCTGGCACGCTGCACCGATCCGAAGCCAGGAGCCAGGTGCTTCCTCCTGGTCTCCCATGCAGGTGCAGGGCCCAAGCACTTGGGCCATCCTCCACTGCCTTCCCGGGCCACAGCAGAAAGCTGGACTGGAAGAGGAGCAACCAGGACAGAACTTGCACCCCAACCGGGACTAGAACCTGGTGTGCCGGCGCCACAGGCGGAGGATTAGCCTAGTGAGCCGTGGCGCCGGCCAGCCTAAAGCTTCTTTAACAGCCTTTGTTGCAATGGTCATTCTGTACAAGTGAAAATTCTGCCTCAGAAAACATGAAACAGACTTCTTTTGGGGGGCAGTTTGCATACAGCTTTGGCACTGCTTGTGGAATGAAAATATATATACATATACATATACATATACATATACATATACATATACATATATATATATATATAAACAGGTCCTACCCTGACCAGCCTCCCAAGATGGCTTCTCCTGTGCCCCCCTCCACCTTACAAGGCTCTCAGTCCTTCCTTCAGCACACGGTCCCACACTCTTGTTAATTACAGCAGGAGGTGGCTGGCACAGACCTCACCCACAGGTTTTCCTTCTTTGCCCCAGGTGCATGTACATCTCTGGGGTCCCTGGGACAGGAAAGACTGCCACTGTGCACGAGGTGATACGCGGCCTGCAGCAGGCAGCTCTCACAAATGATGTTCCTCCGTTTCAATACGTTGAGGTCAATGGCATGAAGCTGACAGAGCCCCACCAGGTGTACGTGCAAATCTTGGAGGTAAGCACAGCTTGTCTGGGCCTTTTCGGAAGTTAGCTTCATAGCTGTGCATCAAAAAGGCTTCTGTGTTTTGTGTGCATTTCACATGCATTAGGTGTATTGGCGCTGTCCTTTCTGTACTAGTAGCAGGGGCAAGGCAGAATGCTTACCCTCCGGGGCTGTGTGTCCTAGGAGCTGGGTGATGAGAATGTCTAGCCACACAACAGGCAGAGTGGCAAGCTACGGGGAAGGGGTTAGAAGAAAGGCAGGGTTTGAGTCTCACTCTTTCATGCGTAGCTCTTACCTCAGAGTTGCTAACGTCCAGTAATACAGTTGTGTAACAGTGATATCAGTGGGCTTCTGGGTCCAGCCTGCATCTCATTTGTATTGAAAACATGCAGACTTGGGACAAACACAGAGGCATAGGGCGTAACCTGGCCTGCATGCCCCACTTCCAATCCAGATCCCTGCTAATGACCTGAGAAAAGCAATGGGAGGTGGCCCAAGTGGTTGGGCTCCTGCCACCCATGTAAGAGACGCAGATAGAACTGTTGGCTTTGGCCTGGCTTATCCCTGGCCATCACACTCATCTGTGTAGTGTACCAGCAGATGGAAGATATTTCTCTGTGTCTTTCCTTCTTTCTGTAACTTTCAAATGAATTATTAAATAAAACCTAAAAGCACACAGTCTTTATCTTCTTTTGGAACCTTCTTTTGTCCTTCCAGGTTAAGGTGAAGATGAGAGTAGAGACAGAGTTTGAGATACTGAAGTCTTCTCAGCTTCCTGCTTTTATAGATTCCACTTTTGGCCCAGGGTAGTAAAACTGTTACAGTTCACCCTGTCTGTTTATCCCCCTTGCAGAAGCTGACAGGCCAAAAGGCAACAGCCAACCATGCGGCAGAGCTGCTGGCAAAGCGATTCCGCACCCAAGGGTCCTCTCGGGAAACCACCGTCTTGCTTGTGGATGAGGTGAGTGAGGGCTGGAGAAGAAATGGATGCATTTGACTGTGATGCTCCAGAAGCAAATACTTAGTAGGAGGAAGTCCTGTCTCCTCCTGCATTTGTCCCTGGTCCGAAAGACGTGTCCGCTGACTTCCTTGCTGCTTTGGCAACGTGACCTGGGAAAATACACACACCTAATGCCTGGCAGTAATACATCTTCACTCCGGGGCCCTGGCTCCACCTCGCTGACCCGTCTCTCTCTCCTTTTCCTTGGCAGCTTGACCTTCTGTGGACTCAAAAGCAGGACGTAATGTACAATCTATTTGACTGGCCCACCCACAAGGAGGCCCGACTTGTGGTCCTGACCATTGCCAACACAATGGACCTCCCAGAGCGCATCATGATGAACCGGGTGTCCAGCCGAAGTCCTAAGTAGCTTCAGGTCTTCATCCTGCTTTTAGAATAGCAGGAGTTTTGCAAAATGAAACATGAAACTAAATAATGGGAAATTAGAATTTGATTTTATAATTTATATTTTAGAATGAAAAAACATTGCATGGTTTTCTACAAATGACCTATACTATATACTTTTGAACTTTCCAGAGCCCTGGAGATTAATTATTTTTTAGAAATATTTAAGTGCCTAGAAGCAGCATTCGGTACTTGCAGTAGAGCTGTGAGCCAGCTGCATGTGGTGTCTGCCCTCGTGGGCCTTGCAGTTCAGTGAGAAGCACAAGTGTAGGTGAAGCCAGGTACAGTACACCTGCCACCCACTTTGGCTAGATTTCCTCTGCGGTGATCTGCTTGTAGATGATTCTGATAGAATAAAAGTCTCTTTTAAAATTTAGTGTTAATTTTGGATTAACGTGCAATAATAATTGTGCTTTTTTTTTTTTTTTTTTTTTTTTTTGACAGGCAGAGTGGACAGTGAGAGAGAGAGACAGAGAGAAAGGTCTTCCTTTGCCGTTGGTTCACCCTCCAATGGCCGCCGCGGCCAGCGCGCTGTGGCCGGCGCACCGCGCTGATCCGATGGCAGGAGCCAGGAGCCAGGTGCTTTTCCTGGTCTCCCATGGGGTGCAGGGCCCAAGCACCTGGGCCATCCTCCACTGCACTCCCTGGCCACAGCAGAGGGCTGGCCTGGAAGAGGGGCAACCGGGACAGAATCCGGCGCCCCGACCGGGACTAGAACCCGGTGTGCCAGCGCCGCAAGGCGGAGGATTAGCCTAGTGAGCCGCGGCGCCGGCCAATAATTGTGCATTTTTTAAGATTTATTTATTTATTGGAAAGGCAGAGTTACAGAGAGGTAGAGGCAGAGAGAAAAAGAGAAAGAAGTCTTCTATCTGCTGATTCACTCTTCAAATGGCAGCAATGGCTGGAGCTGCCCGAGTCCAAAGCCAGGAGCCAGCAGCTTCTGGGTCTCCCACGTGGGTACAGGGGCCCAAGGACTTACTGCTTTGCCAGGCCACAGCAGAGAGCTGGATCAGAAGTAGAGCAGCCAGGACTTGTACCGCTACTCACGTAGGATTCTGGCACTGCAGGTGGCAGCTTTATCTGCTGTGCTACAGAGCCAACTCCACTACTTGTACATTTTTAAGAAGGACAGTGTAACATTTGAGCACATACACACAGCATGCACTGAGCATACCAGGAAACCAGCCTTTCCATTTCCTGATCTTTTCTTTGTGTTGGAACCTACCAGCTCCTCTGCTCCAGTTCTTTATAAATGGTTTTGGGATGAAATAACAAAATTGAGAACTGCTGACCCACAGAGTATCACTGGCCACCGTCAGTAACAGCACTTGTTGAAAGTAGTGGTAGTCCTGGGCTGAAAAATGCAGATTGTTGTATGGGACTTGGGAGTCGGGTTTGGGGACCTGGGCCATCCACGAACTTAGTCTTCTGTCATCTTGGCTCCCCAGGGTCTGACCCGAATGTCCTTCCAGCCCTACACTCACAGCCAGCTGCAGCAGATCCTCGCATCTCGACTCAAGCATTTGAAGGCCTTTGAGGATGATGCCATCCAGCTGGTAGCCAGGAAGGTAAGTCAACTTGAGAGCCCCAGCTGCGCCCACAGCTGAGCCCCTGCTGATTGTGAGCTTCTGTGTTGGGTGTTCTGAGGAGGAAGAGAAATTTAGGAAACTCAGTGCAAATAAATACCAAAAAGGAGAACAAAGTCTGAAAATTGCTTTAATCTTTAGAAGGCCATGAGCACTGTGGGCTTATTACCAGCTAACAGTAACTGCTTCAGGGAGCAGCTATAAGAGTAATTATAAGAGTAGTGTAACCAGGCCAGCGCCACGGCTCTCTAGGCTAATCCTCCGCCTTGCGGCGCCGGCACACCGGGTTCTAGTCCCGGTCGGGGCACCGGATTCTGTCCCTGTTGCCCCTCTTCCAGGCCTGCTCTCTGCTGTGGCCCGGGGGTGCAGTGGAGGATGGCCCAAGTGCCTGGGCCCTGCACCCGCATGGGAGACCAGGAGAAGCACCTGGCTCCTGCCATCGGATCAGTGTGGTGCGCCGGCCGCGGCAGCCATTGGAGGGTGAACCAACGGCAAAAGGAAGACCTTTCTCTCTGTCTCTCTCTCTCACTGTCCGCTCTGCCTGTCAAAAAACAAACAAACAAAAAAGAGTAGTGTAACCGGGTTGACAAATCTAGTTTGAATTCTGTCTCTAACACATACTAGACATGTGGAATGTTATAGGAAAGTGACTTAACTTCCTGAGCCTCAGTTTTTCTCTCAAAAATGGGAGCAGTACTTGTTACCCCATAAAGTCCTTCTGCAAATGGAGATCACGACTGTAAGGTGCCCAGCAAAGCCCCTGCTGTAGGGCAGGGATGAGGCGTCGGAGCCCTGCCTGCTCCCGGCTGCTGGGGACTGCTGCCTGCCGAGGAGCAGCAGGGGTAACAGCTCTGCCTCGGTTGAGAGAAAGAGCCATGTAGCACAAGTTCTTGAGCACTTGACAGAATTATAAACTTCTTTCTAGTTTCCTTTTGCCTGAACCCTGAACCCCTGAATGGGTCTAGCAGGAGCACAGGTCCATAATTCCTGCCCAGAACTAAGACATGGACATGTAGGGTGCTGGCATCCAAGGGAGCCAGGGATGGTGCCTGTCTTGGAGCCGCACCTCCTCAGAAAGATCCAGAATTACCGGCTCACCCTCCGGGTGGGAGATTTTCACTTGTGCTGCCACACACATTCTTGGGCTTTTGCTCTTCTCTGAATGGCCCTTTTGAGATGCTGCCCTTTGGATCTGGGGTTGTCGTCACCCTTTTTTCCTCCAAGATGCTCCTGTCAGTTGGTTTTGGTCTCTATCTTGCATTGTTAGAGACTTTCCTCCGCTGCCTTGTCCACTTGGGGGTAAGATTGGAGATGAAAAAGCTTACTGGGCTCTGAGCACATGAATGAGGCTTGTTCACGGTGTCCTGTGCTCTGGGATAATTGGATCAAGACAACCTCAGTATCTTTTGCACTTCTCATTTGTATAACCAGACTTGTGGGGTTGGGGGAGCATGCATCACTGGTTGGTTAGTTTGTGTTTAAGATCCATTTATTTGAATGGCAAAGTCACAGAGAGAAGGGGGGAGAGAGAGAGAGAGTTCTTCCATCTAACAGTTCACTCCCTAAATGTCTGCAATGGACAGGACCAGGTCATGCCAAAGCCAGGAGTCTCATCCAGGTTTCCCCACATGGTGCAGGGGTCCAGCCATCTGGGCCAATCCTTTGATGCCTTCCCAGGCACATTAGCAAGGAGCTGGATCGGAAGTGGAGCGTCTGGGACCCAAACCGGCACCCATATGGGATGCCAGCATCATAGGCTGCAGCTTAACTTCGCACACAACACTGACCCCGTGAGCCATTTTGTTCTAATAGGAGAGGGATGACCTCAAAGAGTTTTATACGAAAGTATAAATTACAAAGGCCCCGGATTTGCTCACAGCCTCCCTCAGTGGCCCTAATGTCTGGCCAGTGATATGAAATAGGGGCCCGGCGCCGCGGCTCAATAGACTAATCCTTCGCCTAGCGGCGCTGGCACATCGGGTTCTAGTCCCGGTTGGGGCACCGGATTCTGTCCCTGTTGCCCCTCTTCCAGGCCAGCTCTCTGCTGTGGCCAGGGAGTGCAGTGGAGGATGGCCCAAGTGCTTGGGCCCTGCACCCCATGGGAGACCAGGAGAAGCACCTGGTTCCTGCCTTCAGATAGGTGCGGTGCGCTGGCCGCGGCGGCCATTGGAGGGTGAACCAACAGCAAAAGGAAGACCTTTCTCTTTGTCTCTCTCGCTCACTGTCCACTCTGCCTGTCAAAAAAAAAAAAAAAAAAAAAAAAGAAAAGAAAAAAAGAAATAGGGGCTCTTGTTCCTCAGTTTGTGGACTCTTGCTGTCTTATTTAATTTCTTAACTTTTGACCAATCCTACTTTACCTAGATACCTCACTTTGCCTGCAGTTTTAATCCCACTGACTGCTCAGAATTCTGAAGATATTTAACATAGCTTAGATCTGTTTTAAATTCCTTACAGCTTGCAGCTGGCTTAGAATTTGCCTTTCTGCAGTCTGCTAAGTCTACCACTCCTCTCCTGTAGCTTCCCTTCCTTTTTGGATTCTTGGTTTTTCAATAAGAATTCAGAAGGCATCAGATTTGGATGCTCTTTTGACTGAAAATTATTGCCCATAATTTCAAACCTATTTCATCTTTTTACATATAAAGAAGCGTACCTATTTTATATTTTGTATCTTATAATTTTGATATCCAAAATCTTTGTGGGTCTGATTTCTCTTGATTCAGCTGCTTCCCATATATATAGTCTTATTTTTGTGTTTTGATTTATATTTTATTTTTTTTAATTTTTTTTATTTTTTTGACAGGCAGAGTGGACAGTGAGAGAGAGAGACAAAGAGAAAGGTCTTCCTTTGCCGTTGGTTCACCCTCCAATGGCCGCCGCGGCCAATGCGCTGCGGCCGGTGCACCGCGCTGATCCAATGGCAGGAGCCAGGTACTTATCCTGGTCTCCCATGGGGTGCAGGGCCCAAGGACTTGGGCCATCCTCCACTGCACTCCCTGGCCACAGCAGAGAGCTGGCCTGGAAGAGGGGCAACCGGGACAGAATCCGGCACCCCGACCGGGACTAGAACCTGGTGTGCCAGCGCCGCAAGGCGGAGGATTAGCCTAGTGAGCCGCAGCGCCGGCTAATATATTTATTTTTAATTATATGCCCATGTTCCTTTATCTTGGAATCGGTTGAGGCCTAGATTGAGCTGGATGTATTTAGATTTTGTTTTTGCTTCTGTTAGTTTCCTAGGGTGCACTACTAACTTTCTGTTTTCTAAATAAAAATTACCCACTTCAGGATTTTAGGAAATACAGTGTAAGTTTGGGGTATATATCTATAGATATCAGGGCTTAAGGTTTAAAAAACTCAGTTTTTTATTTTTACTGTATACCCACATAGCACCATTATCAAAACAGGCAACTGGGGCTGGTGCCGTGGCTCACTTGGTTAATCCTCTGCCTGTGGCGCTGGCATCCCATATAGGCGCAGGGTTCTAGTCCCGGTTGCTCCTCTTCCAGGCCAGCTCTCTGCTGTGGCCCGGGAGGGCAGTGGAGGATGGCCCAAGTGCTTGGGCCCCTGCACCCGCACAGGAGACCAGGAAGAAGCACCTGGCCCCTGGCTTCGGATTGGCAAAGCGCCGGCCGTAGCGGCCATTTGGGGAGTGAACCAACGGAAGGAAGACCCTTCTCTCTGTGTCTTTCTCTCTCACTGTCTATAACTCTACCTGTCCAAAAAAAAAAAAAAAAAAACAAAAAACAAAAAAAAAAACAGGCAACTTTTCCTGCTGTCTCTGCTGCCTGCTAGGTCTTCTTCACCGTGGTAGCAAGGCTGTAGTAGTGGTTGAGTTCCAAGTTCATGAAGAGCCACTATGAGTACATGTCACCCTCACCCCAGCACAAGTTAAAAAGGCCGCCAGGGGGGCTGGGCTGGTGCTGTGGCATGGTGGGTTAAGCCTCTGCCCGCATATGGGCGCTGGTTCACAACCCACCTGGCTGCTCCTCTTCTGATCCAGCTCCCTGCTAATGCACCTGGGAAAGGAGTGGAAGATGTACTTGGGCTCTGTCCCCACATGGGATACCCAGAAGAAGCTCCAGACTCCTGACTTTGGCCTGACTCAGCCCTGGCTGTTGCAGCTGTTTGGAGAGTAAATCAGTGTTGCTCTGTCTCTCCTCCTTCCCATCTAACTCTGCTTTTCAAATAAACAAAAAAATGAAAGAAAGGGCACCAAGGTTCACAGATTCCCTCAGGGTGAGACCGTTTTAGGTATTTTCTCTTCTCCCAGGGTTCCCCTCGCACCTGGTCTTTGGGCCTCTACAGCAGCCCTGTAGCCCATGCTCTTCGCCAGTACACAGTGTTGTTTCGCAGTGAGGGTTGGTGACTGGAGGAAAGCAGAGATAAGACGGGAATATTTGTGGGACATGCTCAGCCACTGGATGTGGGAGATTATAGGAAGGGAGGAATACAAGCTGATCCTCAGGTTTCTGCCTTTGTAACTTGGGTTTTGTTTTTAATGTCTTAAATGTGAATTCTTTTTAGTGTCTTAATGTATTGTGTATAGTTATGGCTATAGTTTTGCTTTCTAAAATTTAAAATATCATGAATTTTGGAAAGAAGCAGTTATTTGGGGATGTCACTAGTCAGTGTGTGATGGTAGCAGATGCGTGGTGCAGACTGCTGGCAAGTACTGGGAATGCAGGAATCGAGAGACCTGGCAGGCTGTAGTGAGTCCAGGAGTTCTCTCTCAGAGACTGAAAATGCAGGTGGTTTCTAAATCAGCTTGAGATAGAGAAGAGGATCCTGAGCGGGGTCCAGGAGCCCTGTGCAGAAGGAAGGGGAACAGCCACGGTGCAGTCTTTGGCATTGTGGTATGGCCTGACTCATCTGCCCACAATTCTCTGCTGGTCTGCCAGCGGTGTGGCTTCCTCCCCTTCTTCTTGATTTTAGTTCTCTCGTCTGCTGACCAGGCAGTGCTACAAATTCACCACGTGCTGTGAGGGAGGCTCACCTGTGGTTTTGTTTCCAGATGGGCCTCACCTCCACCTCCCGACCTGGACTGCCTGTCTCTGGGCCACACAAGACCCTTTGTGTTTTCTCTTGGCTCATGACCTTGGGCCAAGATTCTCTTTTTTTGATTTCATTTCCTGAGTAATAAATAAAGCTGAGACTGCATTTTCCACTGTTGAGTAATGTATAAAACCAACACAAGGGTTTGACCGGGGAGTCTCAGGTGTGGCATAATGATTACTTCCCATAAGGCTCCCTGGAAGGCCAAAGTACTTCATCTGATGCCTACGTGCACTCCCAGCACTGCCCAGTTGTCTTGAATAAACTGTCGAGGGGCCCTCAGGAATAAAGCGTTCCCTCTCGTAGGTGGCAGCACTCTCTGGCGATGCACGGCGCTGCCTGGACATTTGCAGACGGGCCACAGAGATCTGTGAGTTCTCCCAGCAGAAGCCCGGCTCCCCTGGCCTGGTCACTGTGGCCCACTTAATGGAGGCTCTGGATGAGATGTTTTCTTCATCGTACATCACTGCCATCAGGTAAGACACTCCGACTCCTGAGCACGAATCTTCCTGGAAGACCAGCAGAGAGGTCACCCAGCTTGGGACAGCTATGGAGCGCTTCCCTTCCTGCACTCATGAGAAGGCATAGCTGTTTCTCTTAGGGGCTTGTCTAGTTGGGGAAACTGAAACTTAGGAAAACGAGGACAGTTGCATTGGTTGAGCTATACAATGGGTGTTTAGCTAGTAGCTAGTAAAAGTATTTTGGGAACAAGGAGAGAGGTGTTTTCTGTCACACAGAATGAGGTACTCAGTTCAGGAAATGTGGGCATGGGTCTCTGTGTGATGACAGTCTGGTTTCACATATCCGCTCTATATCCCCTCACTTCCAAAGTGCCAGTTTCTGTCTCATGGGACACATTGGGTGTCAGGTTAATAGGAGGGAGCATTTCCCAGTTTCCTCTCGCTCTTCTCTAAAGACATGGAGAAGGAAAGCGTTGTTTCCCAGAGGAGAGCTTTCCTCTGGGCTAGTGGTACAGACACTGGGGGGAACTCACCTTCGCTTGTTTCCTTGAAGAAATTCCTCGGTCCTGGAACAGGGCTTCCTGAGAGCCATCCTTGCAGAGTTCCGTCGCTCAGGACTGGAGGAGGCAACATTTCAACAGGTGACTGACCTCTATTGTTAAATCCTTCTAGATGTAGTCCGGGGCTTTTCAAATAGTCATGTGTCACTGTGTGATGGGGATTCACTCTGAGGAGTGAGTTGTTGGGTGATTTTATCCTGGTGCTGCATTGTAACATGTACTTAGAAAAACCTAAATGGTGCAGCTTTCTAGAAACCTGGGCTAAATGGTCCAGCCCATTGCTTCTAGGCTGTATACCTATGTTTTGTTCCTGGGTTCCATAAGCAGTTATAACACAATGGTAAGTATTTTATACCTAAACATAGAAAAATAAAAGCATAAATGATAAAAAAAAAAAATAGCGGCCAACATTGTAGCAATAGTAGGTTAAGCTACCACTTACAACGCCTATGTCCCTTTTGGGTGCCAGTTCACGTCCTGGCTGCTCCACTTCTGACCCAGCAGGTCGCAGGTGGCGGCTATCTGCTATGCTGCAACACTGGCCCTTCGGCTTTTTTTAATAGGTTGGTTGTAAGTCCTTCTGTGAATCTTCGGTTGTTGGTCGTGTCTGCTCACTATTGTTCCTCTGGAGCCCTAGAGGGCTCTCCTGCAGAGTGGCTTCTGCTTTACTCTGTGAGTTACTTCCTGAACATCTACAGTGTGAGTGCCACGAATCCCAGGCAGAACTGGTTAATAGTCCTGCTCCTGGCCAGTTCCTAGTCTTAGTGAACAGGATGGACTTGTGAATATCTAGAGTAGACAAAGACAGAAGTGCTACCCTGGCCTAACTGAGTGGGGAGCTGCAGGATAGGGATCCATGTTCCCAGCTGCCGTCCTGCCTCTCTGGGTCTCTGTTCTTTTCAAGGGTCATGCCTCGGCATCTGCTCTCTGTATCTCATAAGGAAAGTGCCCATGTAGAAAAATATGACTTGAATTTCAACAGTCTAAGCTGTGGCACTCTAAGCCCCTGGAGACCAACACTGTTTGTATAACCGTGATAGTTACTTGTCATGTTGTATTCAGTCAGGACTTTTATAGGTGGAACTGAAAAATCAAAAAAGTGAAGTAGCTTACCCAGAATTGCATATCTAGAGAAATGGTGGAACCGAGATTCAGACCTGCTGTTTTCTGATTCCAGGGCTAATCCATTCTCCTACATTTGTGTAGCACTGGGGTACCCATTAATGCCTTCTGGAATGTTTGGTGTCCTGGGCACTAAGTGCCTGATTTTTTTCAAAAGAATTGAATGATCGATTCTGGATTGCTTTTCCTTTTAACCTTCGCTTTGCTTTTTGTGTCTAGATATACAGTCAGCACGTGGCCCTGTGCAGAATGGAGGGACTGCCATACCCCACCATGTCGGAAACCATGGCTGTGTGTTCTCGCCTTGGTTCCTGCCGCCTCCTCCTCGTGGAGTCCAGCAGAAATGACCTGCTCCTCCGTGTGCGGCTCAATGTGAGCCAGGATGATGTGCTGTATGCCCTGAAAGAAGAGTGAGGGTGCTTTAGAGCAAGGACTGTGGTCTGCCGGTTCTTAAAGTACTTTGTTTCTGGGGCCAGCATTGTGGTGGGCGGGTTAAGCTGCCACTGCAATGCTAGCATCCCGTATTGGAGTGCCAATTCAAATCCAAGCTGCTCTGCTCTGCTTGGGTTCCTGCCACCCATGTGGGAAACAACCTGGGTGGGGTTCCAGACTCCTGGCTTCAGCCTGGCCCAGAACTGGACATTCTGGCTGTTTCGAGAGTAAACCAGTAGATGGAAGATCTCTTTATCTAACTGCCTTTCACATAAATAAAATTTAAAAAAATTTTTAAAGAACTTTGTTTTCTTTTTCTAAGCATCTGGAATTGTAGCAAATTATACTGAATGGAAATAACTCATATATTTTGGAATTTTTCATTAAATAATTTTTTCCAGAGTATTTGGGAAGTTTACAGTCATTACAAACATCAGATTATAAAAATCGAACTTTGCCAGGCTGGTGCTGTGGCACAGTGGGTTAAAGCCCCAGCCTGCAGCGTCGGCATCCCACTGTTCCTCTTCCAATCCTGCTCTCTGCTATGGCCTACGAAAGAAGTAGAAGATGGTCCAACTCCTTGAGCTCCTGCACCCACATGGGTGACCCAGAAGAAGCTCCTGGCTTCAGATCAGCTCTGGCCATTGTGGTCATCTGGGGAGTGAACCGGCGGAATGGAAGACCTCTCTCTTTCTCTTTCTCTCTCTCTCTTTCTGGCTCTATCTCTCTCTGTAACTGTGTCTTTTCAAATTAAAAAAAAAAAAATCAAACTTTGCTTGCTTAACAGACTTTTGTTACTAGCCCTGCCACTTATTTAATGGTAACATATCATATATAGAAATATATGTAACAATATGTATATATTGTAAAATAGTTTTGGAAGAATGTGAAAGAAATTGGTTACCTCTAGGAAAGAACTGGTTGGCTTGTGATCAGGGGTTGGAGAACTTTTCACTGTATGCCATTATGTGTCTTAAATTTTAAACAAAGTGAAATATTTATAGAAAAGTTGCTAGAAATAATATCGAGCAATTATAAAAATGTCTTAAAGGTGCCATTTTTCATAGTAATCTATAAACTTATTTTTATATGTTTGAAAAGCAGAGAGACAGAGATCATTCATCTGCTGTTTCATTCCCCAAATACCCACAACAGCCGGGACTGGGCCTGGCTGAAGCCAGGAGGCTGGAATTTAATCCAAGTCTTCTGAGGGTGGCAGTTACCCAAGTACTTGAGTAGTCACCACTGCTTCCCAGGGTGCGTGTTAGTAGGAAGCAGGAATTGGAAGCCGAGTCAGGACTTGAACCCATATACTTGGATATGGAGTTGCAGGCATCACAAATGGTGTCTTAACCACTGTACCAAACACGCATTCATCACAAATGTTTAAATACAAATGATTTATGTGGTACAGAAAACAAAAGATAAGTAGGAATAAATCTAACAGAGATTAGTTACATGTCTATATGTGATTCAGCATCTGGCAGAGTTTCTTACATGCGTTTGCAAGTTAATTCTTTCCTCACTCACAACCACTGTATCTTGTGGGTTTGCAAGTTAACTCTAACATCTATATAAAAACCAACAGAATACACTCATCTAAACCCTCATGTGAGGGACTGAGGAAAATATAACCTCAAAAATATTTGGCCTAAATCTATTGATGTAAAAATTATCAGACAAATCCATGTTATAGGTGAAATGCTCTGATAAGTAACTGCTCACTCATTGAAGATAGAAATTTCATTACAGCAAACCCCAAACGTGGAGGAGCTATTCTAATTCAAGAGACACTAGGGCTAAATGCGCTGCTTCTTGATTGAGGCTTGGATTTAAAAAAATACAATTATAAACATAATCATGAACTATGTAACGTGTTAGAGTTTGTGAATGTGATTAAGTGTGGTTATGTAAGAAAATGTTTTTACTGAAACATGAATCAAAGTCACTTTCTATCTTGGAAATCAATTTTTATGATGAAATGAAACAGTTGGAACCCAAATGCCCCACCGATGGGAGAGGAAACAAATGTGTGGACTATTTTGATATTTAGTCTGGAAAATGCAAGAAAGCGTATGAGCCAGAAATTCCATTCATAGGTATGTACGAAATTTATATATGCATACCAAGAGTCAGGTACAATGCGTCACTGTAGTGGCATGTCACTGTTACTTCGTATTATGGACCACCACGCAGAAATGAAATCCTGTCAGGTATACATGCCAGTGTGGATGAAGGTTACAAACAGGGTTGAATAGAAAAAAGTTATATGGTACATACAATACTAATGACCTTTAAAATGTACCATGACTACTGGCTCAGGATAAATATAAACAGGACGGTGGGCACCTCTTTAGGGGTGTGGCAGGGTGGGATGTGTCCAGGTGGCCTCAGCTGTAATGTGCTTTTTCCTAAACCTGCAACAGGTGCCCAGGTGGCTGGAATTCACAGAATGTCACAGGACTATTGAGTGCCCGCTGCGTGCTGCAGGCACCGTGGAGCGGAAACGGAAATGTCTGCCTCGCGCAGCCGGCCCTAGTGCGTGAACTAGTGCGTATCTCCGTGTAAACACTTCAGGGTGGCCATGCGTGATTTCTAAAAGTGAGGTGTGAGGAAGTGAAACCTCGATTTCAAAAGAAAGGTGCAGTGGGTCCCTTCTCCTGGGAAGAAACAGAAACAAGGAGCCCGGGCGGTCGCAGAAGCCACTCGCGGCGAGACTACGCGTGGCAGTGGGGAGGCAGCGGTGTCCACGGAAGCCATGAGGGCATTTCTGCTGCCGCCAAAGGGCAGGTGCTTTTCTCATCCGCCATTCCAGGGACGCCGTCTGTCTCGCGGGTTGCGAAGTGGGGCAGAGCCGTCAGGAAAAGCGGCGCGAGCTCGAAACCCGTCTCTCCTGGCCAGACTGATGCACCGCGGGGTAGGGGCGTGAGCGCCCCGCTAAACCCGCCGAAGCGGCCTCGAAAAGTGCCGTTAGCGCCGTTTTACCTCAGCTGTCAACCCGACTTCCGAGCGGAAACAGGCAAATTCGAGTGAGGATGAAGAAAAACAGGGTGCGCCGCAAGGTCCCGCCCCCGGCCCAGGGAGCCGAGAGACCGGATAGGTCCGGCGAGCCTGCGGCCAGCGCCGCCTCCCGAAGGGCCAGGGAAGCGGCTGCGCGACGCAGGGGCAGGCCGAGGACAGGGCCGCACCTCCCGCATTTGCGCGAGCCACTGGAGGGCCCCGGCCGGGCCGCCGGGAGCGCCAGCCTGGCGGTCTCGCGCTACCTGCCCGGGGGCGCCTGCGCACTGCGCACCCCGCCCTCGGAGTCACCTGGCGGAGCGCCCCGCCCGCCTGCCCCTCCCCACACATGCGCACTGCGAAACCGCCGGCCGCGCGGTCACGTGTTGGGCGCGAGCAGCCGGTCGAGCCGGGCGATTCCAGTCGCCGCGGCCCCCGCCGCCCCGGGCCGTGGGAGCCCCGGGCGGTGCCTGTCGGGAGGAGTCCGGGGTTTGGTTTGCATCCACCGCGAGGTATGCCGCGTATCTGCCTCCCGGCGTTTGGAGGTCTCGGGGTCGGCGGGGAGATGGAGGCGGCTTAGGCAGGGCAGGGCAGGGCCGGGCGGTGCTGGGACCTCGCCTCCCTTGCGGACTCCTTTGCCCACCTCTCTCTGGAGCCCGGGCCTGGGGCAGCCAGCGGAGCCGCAGACTCCGCCAGTGTCTGGCTGACCCCGGCTTTCCGCGAGTCCCGTCACTCGTATTCCCCGCCTCAGTTGACACCCGGGGCCATCCCGAGCGTCCCCTCCCGGGTACCCTCAGAGCCCTGTTGGCTTTGCTTCCCAACTCTGGAATCCAGCCGCAGCTCTGTCCCCACGCGCCACCCCGCGCTCCGTCAGCTCGTCTCCTTCGCGGGACGGTTGCAAGATGCTCCGTGTTGAGACGGCTTCCTGCCTTCGCTCACCCTCCTGCTTCCTGCAGCCAGACCGGTCCTGAGCGGGCGGCCTGATCCCGGGCCTCAGGATCACGCCCGACTCCCTTGGGTGTGAAGAGTTTTCATTTTTCCCGTTTCCATTTTCGCTTGCGCCATTTCTGGTCTTAGTTTATGCCCCAGCAATTCCAGGCCTGTGGTTTCCTTCTGCAGGCCCCCGAACCCATATCAAATTTTTGGAATCGTGCTCTGCTGCTTCTCCCACCCCTCCAACTTTGTCATGACTCAGCACTGCCAGGGCCTCCCTCAAGAAGCCTTTTCTCTCTGTGTTGGATAAGGGCCCCCTCGGGGTACGCATCCCCCCTGGTGCAGCCCCGTGTGCTAGGGCATGGGTCCTGGGGGATTCACGTGTGGGATGCGCCCAGCGCACAGTAGGTGCTGTGCGTGGTGGCGATCGCTCTGAATGCGAATGCTGAGTCAGCTTTCTCTGTATCAGCGCTGTCCACTGAAACCCTGCGCAGCGATGAACTCTGTGCCGTCCAGGGGTAGCCACTCGCCAGCAGTGGTGATTGAGCCCTGGATGCCTCTGTGTGGCCGAGGAACTGAATCTGTGCGCTGAATTGAAACTTAAATAACCACGTGTGTCTTCCATGACGGACAGGGCTGCTTTCAAGCCTTTCTGAATTCTGCCCAGCCTTGTACCCACCGTGAACCGCCCGGATTCAGCCTTCCAGCTTCACCCACCAGTCCTGCATCTGTTGTGCGGTGTCCGCGGCCCCCCGCCGCTCCCTTCCCTCCTGGCTGCCGTGTCCCGGCTTCCGCGCTATAATTCCCTTAGCATTTTATCCTTCAGTGCCAGGCTTTGCTTTCTCGAGAAGCTTAGGAACTACTCACCAAAGGCAGCCCCGTTAAGGGGGGTGTGGCTAGGGTCTGCTCCCCTCTGAGTCTAAATTTGATCCCCACCAGGTAGGTGTCTAAGCAGCCGGGATGCCAGGGCCAAGACCCCGGAAAGGCCCTCAGGCCAGCGGTCAGGGTGTGGCGGCCGCCAAGCAGGTATGGACATAGCCTCCTTCGCCTCTGGGCCAAGTTGGGGTGGGAGTGGGGGTCTCTGGGCAACCTGGGTCACCAGTGTGGCTTCCCTGTCAGTCCAGAGACTTTGAAGGGTGCCTTTTGGTGGTGGCGGTGCCTGTGGAGGCCCTCTGCCTGGCCCCTGCCGTGCACGGTGGGTGGACAGCCCTCAGCTCTCCTCTTGGCTTTCACCTTCGTCCTTTTGCGGTGACAGCTCTGTATGAAGGACCTGGAGGCGTCAGGAGCCACGGAGTCTTGCATGCTCTGCTGGGACCTCAGTTCTCTCACTCAGGTTGCAACTTTGCTGTTCAGCCAAGGCTGCCAGGGCCTGAGAGCTGCTGCCGGTGGGAGGACTTCGCTGCCTGGAGACAGAGGGATCCTGTCCTCCAGTTTTCTCCCTTTATTTCTTCTGGGCACATGGCCTGAGACTTCTTGGTCCCTATTTATTTTTTTTATAGTTACTATCTTCAATTGTAAAGGGGCAGGCACTGTGGAATAGCTGGTTAAAGCCCTGGTCTGCAATACTGGCATCCCATATGGGCGCAGGTTTGAGTCCCAGCTGCTCCACTTCTGATCCAGCTTCCTGCTAATGTGCCTGGGAAAGTAGTGGAGGATGGCCCAAGTCTTTGGGCCCCTGCACCCATGTGGGAAACCTGGAAGAAGCTCCTGGCTCCTGGCTTCAGAACAGTTCAGCTCTGGCTGTTGCAGTCATTTGGGGAGTGAGCCAGTGGATGGAAGACCTCTCTCTCTCCCTCTCTCTGGTTCTACCTCTCTCTATAACTATCTTTCAAATAAAATAAATCTAAAAAAAAAAAAAAAAAAAACAAAAACGAGGCAGGTAAAGGAGGTGGTGGGGTTAAGGGGCTCGACTCAAGTCAGAGGTTTCACTCTGAATTCTGCCTCTGCACTGTGAACAGTGAGGTAAGAATAGCACCTCCTCTGCCTTGAGCGGTCAGTTATGGAGACCGAGAGCAGAGCGGTGTGACCAGAGGCTGCAGGGAAGGGTGAATGGGCAGTGTCTCCGTTCACAGTTTGGTTTGGGTGGGTGATGGTGAGCGTGGCATCACGTGAATGTAATGCCACTGAACCGTGTACCTGAAATGGTTAAGATGGTAAACTTCATGGTATGCATGTTTTACCACAGTTTAAAAAAATAGGACCTACCTCTCAGGGCTGTGAGAATTAGCTAAGGCAAATTACCTGGCAGCCGCTGCTGCTGCTATTGTAATAACAAGGTCAGTGCTGGGCTCTTTGTAGGGTCCCTGGGGAGATAAATGTCCCAAGGGATGACATTGCAGGCCTCAGTTTCCCTTTCTGCACACTGGACCTCATGAGGAAAGGAACCACTGACTTGGATATTGGGATCCCAAGTCTGCCTCTGAGCTGGGCTTTGCACTGCCTCTTGGGTGATTTCTAAGAATCCTTCTGTGCCCTCAGCTGGGGCTCTTTGTGGAGTTCAGCCCAGAGGACATGCTGCTGGGGACAGACGAGGCTGAAGAGGATGCGGACCTGGAGGCTGAGCTGCTCGCCCTCACTGGGGAAGCAGAGACCACAGACAGGAAGCCAGGACCCAAGGGGCGGGGTAAGTCTGAGGCAGTGGGCCTAGATGGGTGGCTGCCTGACTCTGGCGGAAAGGGACCTTGCCTTGCAGGCTGCAGGAGCCACCAGGCCCCTCTGCAGCACTCCCAGCAGGAGGCCGCCTCACCTGCCTGTCACGGGAACTCTCTCCCCATCGTGGAAAAATATGGTTTATAGACTGACTCAGCTTCTTATGCGTAGCCCTAGCCAGGGCCTGGTTTAAAAAAAAAAAAAAGAAAAAAAGGTAGGGGACCAGATCCCACAGACTGAATTGGGTACATGGACAGGACACAGAAATTGTGTCGTGAGCTTCCTCCACAGCCTGCATGGTGCCAGAGAGCTCAGCCCTGGGGGGATCTCGGGGTGTAAGCCTTCTGTCTTCACCAGGATCCCTCAGAGAGAGCCACCCCTATCCCACGGGCCCTGCACCGAGGATCCCCGGGATCCCTCAGAGAGAGCCACCCCTATCCCACGGGCCCTGCACCGAGGATCCCCGGGATCCCTCAGAGAGAGCCACCCCTATCCCACGGGCCCTGCGCCGAGGACTGTGAGTGGACAGGGAAGTGGCTCACTGCTCTGGCCCTGCTGTGGGCCAAACTTGAGTTTGAATCCTGGCTCAACTAGGATTGCAGCGCTAGGTGCTGGTAGTTTCCAGGTCATTCAGTGTAAAAAGGGATAATATTCTTTATTCTTCATAACTTTGAAGCTCCAGGGGACTTCAGTGTTTATGTGACAGATGGTTGTGGGGGTGAGGGGGTTGTGATGGGTGGGCACTTCTGCCTACGGTATCTACCCATAGAGTGCATTGAAGACTGCTTCACCCGTCCTGCACCTTACTGAGTTGCCCTGACCCTCTTCCCCCAGCCCCCCTGCCCATGGCCCACATCGAGAAGTTGGCAGCGGACTGTATGCAGGATGTGGCGGAGGAGGAGGAGGAGGAGGAGGAGGAGGAGGAAGGGCTGGAGGAGGATGCAGACCTGCTGGTGCGTCTGCCAGGCTGGTGTCCAAGGGCTCTGCAGTCCAGCTCGGGCCTGGTGGAGGAGAGGGCTCTGGAGAGGAGGCCGGGGGTGTGTCCGTGACTTTGAGTGAGTGTCCTGCCCGTCCTGGGCGCGTCTTCCTAGCTGCACACTGAGACTCCTCTCCTTTGGCCTCTGGTCTGAGCTGTGCAGTTGGGCACTCTCAGATTGGGAGCCTTCACACAAAGGGGGTTTTTCGGACATAGTGACTGACATTGGGGAGTACTGCTGAGGGGGAGGCTCCTTTGTTCTCCTGTCATGGGTTTGACTGTGAGGCCCCCAAGCTCCTGGGACTTGTTGTGTCTCCCCAGACTGAGCTGCAGGAGGTGCTGGGTGCAGATGAAGAGGTTGGGCCCGGGGAAGGTGATGAGGCCGCCAGCCCAGGCCTCTCTGAGGAGAAGGGACAAGGAAGCGTTGAACCTGCTGTGCAGGCAGCCCTCCTAACAGCCGCAGTCGCAGAGGCTCAGGTAGGTTCTGGAGGAGGCCCATGACAGCCATGTGTGACATGCGTGTGGCATAGCTTGCAGACACAGGCCACAGAAGCCTTCTGCAGCAGCTGCCCTGAGCAGAAAGCAGCACAAGAAACTCCTCCATGGCTGGCGTACCTCAAAGGCCACTCTGTTCTCTCAGCACCCCCACCCCCTCCCCACCCCCCGAAGCCATTTCCTGGCCTCCACCGACTGTTAGAGCCTCTGTATTTTGCCTCTGACACAGTCTCTAGCCTCTCCAGTGAGTCTTTGCCCCACGCCTTGAGGCTTTCAGGCTCTTCTTTTTTAAGATTTGTGGGTTTTTTATTTATTTATTTGAAAGGCAGAGTTACAAGAGAGGGAGAGAGCTCTTCCATCTGTTGGCTCACTCCCCAAATAGCTGCAAAGGGCGGGATTGGGCTAGGCCGGAGCCAGGAGCCTGGAGCTCCATCCATCCGGGTCTCCTACGTGGGTGCAGAGCAGGTTTTTTTTTAGAATCCCAGAGCTCCACCTGCTGGGGCAGCTTCCTCGCAGGAAGAGAATGGCACAGGCCTGACTAGCCCTGGAGTGGTCAGGTCCTGAGCTGAGCTGTCTTTAGGCTGGGGAGCCTCAGGGGCTACAGGCTCTGCTAGAAGAACGGATCCACAACTACCGGGAGGCTGCGGCCAGTGCCAAGGAAGCAGGGGAAGCGGCCAAAGCCAGGCGCTGTGAGCGAGGGCTGAAGGTGAGCAGGGCTGGGGGAGTGAGGCTGTGGGGTGGGTGACAGGAGGAGGCTTCCCCACTCAGCAGCCTTGTGGAGGTGGTGGATCCTTGGCCTGGCTGTGAGCAGGGTCTGGCCCAAGATGGCCAGCCAGGTTTCTGGACTAGTTCTCTCCCTCAGACTCTGGAGTCCCAGCTCGCTGCTGTGAGGAGAGGCAGGAAGATCAACGAGGACGAGATCCCACCGCCAGTGGCCATAGGCAAGAGGCCTCTGGCCCCCCAGGAAACAGCCCACAGGAGCTCTGAGACAGACCCTCCCTGCCCCCCCGCCATGGAGCCAGGTATCTGAACACCCGGTCCTGTCCCGGTTCCCCAGCCGGCCAGTGTTCTTCGCTGTCAGTCACACTTTCCGCAGAGGCTCCTCAAGCCAAAGCAAGTACCTCCTCCTCTGACCCTCATGCCCTCTGGGACTTCTTGTTTTCCTGTAGACGACGCCTCCCAACCCGAGACAAGCCTCCTGGGCAGCCCTGGCCCTTCTGCCCCGCCGAATTCAGACGCTGACCCCCGGAATCTGCTGTTGACCCGACAGAGAGAGTACAAAGTGGCTGCCCTCAGTGCCAAGCGGGCTGGAGATCTAGAACGTGCCCGGGAGCTCATGAGGATTGGGAAGGTGGGACAGCTGGCTCATTTAACATGGAGGAAACTGAGGCCCAGACAGGGAGCTGAACTGGGCTTGAGACTGGCCCAAGGGAGAATTGTTTCAGCCCAGGTTCTTGGGGTTCCCTCGCTTAGGTGCACATCTACTTTTCTTAGAGGTTTGGTGCTGTCCTGGAGGCCCTGGAGAAGGGGCAGCCTGTGGACCTGAGTGCCATGCCCCCAGCACCTGAGGGTCAGTATGGGAATTGTGAGGGGATCTGCCTGGGCTAGGGGTGCAGTTGGGGCTTGCCAAGCACCCCCACCTATACCTTAGCTTTGCATCCCCCAGATCTGAAGGTCCCCAGGGCACCCCCTGTCGTATCTCCAGCAGTGGAGCGAGTGCAGCCAGTGACAGCTCCTGACATCCCAGCAACCCCAGGTAGGACAGGGTGGTGGGACTGGGGAGTGGGGACCTGGGGAGAGGCAGGCTGAGCAGATGCTCTCCCCGCTCTTCAAGTGGCCCCTGCAGAGCCACAGACGGTGCTGGATGCCCTGCAGCAGAGACTGAACAAGTACCGGGAGGCCGGCATCCAAGCTCGGAGCAGTGGGGATGAACGGAAGGCCCGGATGCATGAGCGCATTGCCAAGGTAGGCTTGGGGCCGTACAGCCACCTGCCCCTGCAGCTGGCGCTGGTCTTCTCCCAGTCTTCCTGTCCCTCTGTCACATGGGCATGGAGCCTGCAGACTCGTGCTCACCATGCGTCCCTCCTTTGCCACCCTTGCAGCAATACCAAGATGCTATTCGAGCACACCGAGCAGGGCGGAAGGTTGATTTCGCAGAGTTGCCGGTTCCTCCAGGTGAGTAGGGCTTGGTCTGTGTGCTGTCTCCCAAGGAAGCAAGGATGGGGAGGGGACGTGACCTCAGGGATGTACCGCCACCTGTCCCTGGCAGAGTCAGGGCCCACAGCAGCTTTGTGCTGCCCTGCGGCTACTCCACCCCCTCCCAGCTCTGCTTCTGTCACAGGGTTTCCCCCCATCCCTGGTCTGCAGCCCATGGTGGGCATGGAGGAGGATACAGTAGCAGCAACCTTGGCAGCTGCCCAGAAACTGGCCACCTCAGATGACACGGCCCTGGCAGAGGAAGAAGAGGATGAGGATGAGGTTTGGCTGAGGGCCCAAGGCAGGACTGGGGGGAGGAGCGGCAGATGAGAAGTGACCCCAGACTTAATGTCCCTACTAACAAGCCCAGGGATACATTCTTTTCTCTATTTCACAGAGAAAAACTTGGCCAAGGGCAGAGCTAGGCTTTACATGAAGGTCTTTCTGGTCCCAGAGCCCAGGTTCCATCCCCAGCACCCTGCTGGCTCCTGTGTTGAGGTGGGAGGGGAGGTTAGAGTGGAGAGCTTCAGAAGTGTTTGGAAGTTCTGAGATATTTTAGGGCTCAGGAGGGGAAGTCACTCGTCTCAGGTCATGCGTGAGTGAGTGCAGCATCTGTGGAGAGCCCGAGGTTGGAAGCTGCCTTGGGTGGGGTCCCCAGTGACAGCCTCCTGGATATCTGCAGAGTGAGACCCCAGCACAGACGCCAGTGGCCAAGAAGCCAGCACAGCCTCTTGTCCCTTCATCTCGGCCCCTGGCTAAGGAGTCACTGAGTCCTTCTGGTGAGTTGGAGACAAGCAGGCTGGGAGGAGTGCAGGTTCTAGTGAGGGGCAGGCATGGCCTTAACCAGTGGTGCTCTCCCCTCAGTGCGGGAGCAGCTGGTGCTACTGGAGGCACGAAAACTGCAGTACCAACGGGCAGCCCTGCAGGCCAAACGTAGGCAGGACCTGGAGCAGGCCAAAGCCCACCTGCGGGTGGCCAAATGTCTGGAGGCTCAGATCACCCAGGCCCGAGCTGGCCGACCTGTTGATCTCTCCAAGGTGAGTCTCATCTTTTGAGCACCAGGACTTCTTGGGCAGAGGAGGTGGGCGGCAGGCTTGCAGGACTCTCTGAAGTAGGGCAGCTTCTGGGAGGCAGTGGGATTTGGGCAGGATGTGATGGCTGGGTAAGCACCTTTTGTTTATGATTCTGTCTACTTCGTAGCCTGCAGAGAGACCTGGGAAGGGAATACAGGATGAGGCCAATGGGGGGGGGGGGGGGCAGAGTGTTGTAGCACCCTGAGGTAGAGTGGGAGGCAGTGAGTTGCCTGCACTTAGTATGGATTCCTGCATTTGTTGGGCTCATTAGAGAGTAATCTGACTCTTGGGGCCCGAGGGGCCTTGTGACCTGGGCAGGTGCCTTCGCCCTTGACGGATGAGGAGGGCGACTTCATCCTCATCCACCATGAGGACCTGCGACTCTCCCAGAAGGCTGAGGAAGTATATGCGCAACTACAGAAAATGCTTCTGGAGCAACATGAGGTCAGGAGCCCTTGTCTGTCACTTCCCTTTCAGTGCCCCCAGCCTTCTTGTGGGGAAAGGCCTGGATTCCAGTTCTCACTCTAAAACTTACTGGCCGTATGACCCCACAAGCCTCACTGAACCCGTTTCCTCATCTGTAAAACAGGATGAACATACATACCCTGCTTCAGGATGGTTATAAAGTTCAAACAACAAAAGTCACAGCATGGGAAAAAGGACTTTGTAGGTGGGAGGGGACATGCATATAGATTTTTATGGTGTGTTTGGCTGAACTCCTTCCTGTTTCAGAGTCTGCTTTCGAAGGTGATGCTTGAATTTGGTTTTGAGGGAAGAATAGGAGTTTGCTAATTTTGGAGAATGGCTATCCTTAGAAGAGGAAAGGGCAAAAATATAGACAGAGTACTGGTGGGACTTGGGATATGTGTTGGAGAGAGAAGTGAGGCTACAGAGGAAGGCGGGCTTGAGGTCAGGCCTCGAGTGCCAGTCAGGTAGGTCCTGCCCTGAGACCTGGAATCTGGGCCTCTATTTTCAGAAGTGCCTGCTGTTTTCCAAGCAGTTCATGCACCAGGGCAACGTGGCTGAGACCACCCGGTAAGTGCACGGACTGGGGCTGGGCTTCTGGGGCAAGAGCAGAAAGCATGCCTTGTTGTTTGCTGATGTGCGTACCCACGCCTGTCAGGTTTGAGAAGCTTGCTCAGGACCGTAAGAGACAGCTGGAGATCCTACAGCTGGCCCAGGCCCAGGGCCTCGACCCTCCTAGCCACCACTTTGAGCTGAAGACATTCCAGACCGTGAGGTGCCAAAGCCTAGGGGAAACTGGCTCTGTGCAGGCGTGGGGCAGGAGGGTAGCACCCAGTTAGTGAGCCTTCCCTGGTGAGGAGTGGGTCATGGTGCCTGCCAGTGAGGAGCTCAAAGCTGTATGGATGCTGTGGACAAAGCTAAGGTCTGTGTACAAGCTCTGCTGCTTCTGGCCGAAACAAGCTTTCCCTCTTTGGGTCCACCCCCCCACCCTCGTTACCAGGCACTGGAGAAGGGGATCTGGGTCCACTGTTCTTTCTTTTCGGCTATAGGATCTTCTCAGAACTCAACAGCACAGAGATGCATCTGATCATTGTTCGAGGAATGAACCTCCCAGCACCGCCAGGTAATCCCAAGGCCACCCCTTCCACCCAGGCCCTGGGCTTTTGCCCCCTCCCTGACTCCCGTTTCTCTCTCACAGGGGTGACCCCTGATGACTTGGATGCTTTTGTGCGCTTTGAGTTTCACTACCCTAACTCGGTGAGGTTCAGGTAGAGGTCGCAGCCTCTGAACCCGTGTCAGTTTCTCCCCGTCCCTGGGAGGTCTGGCCATAGGGAGGGGACTGTAGACTTTTGGGCCCATTCTGTACAGAGTTCCTGGCCCTGTTTATCTGTTTCTTCAAACTGTTTTCACTCCTCCCTGCCTACTGTTTTTAGGACCAGGCTCAAAAAAGCAAAACAGCTGTGGTGAAGAACACGAATTCTCCAGGTGAGTGGGGGCCACAGGAGCCCCTTTCAACACCCCCCCCCCTTCATGTACATGGGCAGCACTTGTGTTTCCAGATCTGTTCCCTTACTTGATTCCTTCAGCACAGGTGATAAAAGCAGATACTGGTAACACTGGGGCTTCAGGAGGGGGATCCAAAGCAGATCTGGCGCACAGATTCCCAGGTTTGCTGTGGCTAGAATTGCGGTGGGGCAGCTGCTTCATGGCACGATGAAACAGAGTAAGCTCCGGACCCAGCACTGATGTGGTATTTCCAGATTGGGGACCCACTGGAATGGAACTGCTCCCCAGATAGCTCCTTAAGCTGGATAACCACACACTTAAGACTGTAGGTGAGGAATCTGAGCCTCAGTAAAAGTAGAGACCTGCCTATGGCCTCATAATAAGGAGGTGGCAGAAACGAAGTTTGCTCCAGGAATCCCTATTCCAAATTCCAGTTCCCTCCCACTTCGTTATCTAATGAGTATAAAACATGGTCAGGATTTACATTCTCTGCCTTCTGGTGGCAGTCACCCTGAACTGCAGGCAGAGAAAGAGGGGAAGCCAGCCCTGGGCCTCCATTCCCACTTCCTCAGGAAATCCCTGGGAGCCAAGCCCCTTCTTGCATTCTCCTCCTCTTGTAGAGTTTGATCAGCTCTTCAAACTAAACATCAACCGAAACCACCGGGGCTTCAGGAGGGTGATCCAAAGCAAAGGAATCAAGTTTGAGATTTTCCACAAAGGGTGAGGATCCTCTTGGTCCCATTGCCAAGGTGGGCTGGGAAGTAGGAGTGACATTTCCATTACAGCTGCCACCTCTGCTACCGCTTGTTTTCCTGCACTGGTCTCAGCCAGTTCACGCCTGCCTTCTCTACCCAATCTAATCCTCTGCTGCCTCTTGGATCCCAGCTCTTTCTTCAGAAGTGACAAGCTGGTTGGCACGGCACATCTGAAACTGGAGCGGCTGGAGAATGAGTGTGAGATCAGAGAGATTGTGGAGGTGAGGCCTGGGGTGGGCAACAGAGGACTTAGTAAGAGTAGAGCTAGTATTTGTTGAACACCAGTCCCTGCTGTAGGTTTTTGTGCCTGTCGCTTAACTTGAAAATTACCCACACAGTTGTTATATGGTAGGTGGTATCTCCATTTCACAAAAGAGGATGTTCAGAAGGTCAGAAAAATTCAGAGTTTCAAGATAGGAAGTAGCCATACTCTTCCCACAACACCTGGGCCATCCAGGTTTCTAATGATGATGGATGAGCAGGAAGATCCCTGGGTATACAGTCACAGCTGTCAGCCTGGCACACAGATTCCCAGGTTGCTGTGGCTAGAATTGCGGTTGGGGCAGCTGCTTCACAGCACGATGAAACAGAGTAAGCTCCGGACCCAGCACTGATGTGGTATTTCCAGATTGGGGACGCACTGACGTGCAGCCGGTCTACTGTTGGGAACTGCTCCCCAGATAGCTCCTTAAGCTGGATAATCATAGGATTGCACAGGCAGTGGCTCTAAGAGCTGGCCACTGACAAATAAAGACATTTAAGCCCTAGAAGAAAGGGAGGTTACATAAGTTCACAGGACCAGATCCTGACTCATACTTTTGTTGGCTGAAGCCTCTCCTGCTGCGGCACACCTGCTCCCTGTCTGCCGGGGGAGTTGTTCTCAAGTGGAGTCTGCTCTCTGTTGGCCTCATGGAGGGTGATCAGACTTGTCAGGACTGTCACACTGATGTGCACTCCAGCCCAGGAAGGAAGGGAAACCTTTGATCTGGGTTCTGCTCTTGATGCTGCAGTGTCATCTACTTCTCTTTGGGGCATCTGGGAAGGTGGAGCTCGCTGGTTTTCATGCTGCTCCTTGAAGCCAACATTTATTCCTGGAGCTGCTTGGAGATTGAGGGGGAGTGATGGGCTAGAGCGTTCCAGATGTCTATCTCCACTTCAGTTAGTGTTTATCTAGGTTTATATGTTAATTGTTTTAGTAAGACAGCCAAACCATTACCACCCCAAACAGAAGGACAACAGGTTTGAGACTCCCATGCGTTAGGACTGCAGGATACCTTAGCTCCTCTAATTCGTTTCCTAGGAGCACAGGGACCTGCGTGCCTCAGTTATTGTCTGCCTCTCCCTGGTCCTCACAGGTCCTGGATGGAAGGAAGCCTACTGGGGGGAAGCTGGAGGTGAAGGTGAGGCTGCGGGAGCCTCTGAGTGGCCAGGATGTGCAGATGGTCACCGAGAACTGGCTGGTCCTGGAGCCTCGGGGCCTGTGAGGTGGGCAGCTCTCTGGGTCCCCAGAACCTCTTCCCCTGCGTTCTGATGGGGTCCCTCTGGGGTCCTTCTCCTATTCACCCTGTGTGTGGGGAGAAAGCCTAGGAGTTCTCATCTGTGTGAAGACCAAGGCACCAAAACTGTTGGGCAGAGTTCATGAGCTGAGTTTCTTAGTGGAACAGGGGAGGAAAAGTAACTCCCAAGGTTTGTCTTCAGGAAATCTCTGTAAAACCTGCTTGTTTTCCCTGTGGTTTAGCCGGACTCCCCATGCTCTGTGCCGCTTTGCAGCAGACGGCCAGCACCAGGAGATGATCAGGCCAGCGACGGTGTGCAGGAGCTTCCTCTTCCCAGTGCTGCTGGCTGCAGAAGCCTTTGTACATAAGAGAGATGCTGCTACCTAAGCACCAAAGACCTTTAAAGTATGTGCACTACTGACCACAGCCCTGGTCTTTCCTGTCACTGGCCCACAGAAGCAAGCTGGATTCGAGGAGCTCCTCTCTCATGCGTCTTACTCCCCCAGTCTGGGCAAAGGCAAGGATATCCTCAGTGCTCTGTGCCATGGAGACCTGCAGCCCACTAACCCCTACCTAGCAACTGTGTGCAGCTCACCCTAGCCCCAGTTGCACCACTTCTGGATGTGCCTTTAACTGAACTGTAAGGGATGGGAGAACTCGAGGGTGATCGGGAACCTCCCCTGCTTAGGGTGGGAACAGGGTTCTGTGACTCTGGTCAGTGGCAGCCTGTCCTCTCAACTCAGTTCCCCCCAGCTCTGCCCGTGCCTTTGTTCCTAACAGCTGCTAGTATTAGCCTTCCTGCGTCCCCACGGACTTAGAAACGTTTTGGTACTACTTGGTGGGAAGTTAAGGGAAGGCTGTATCTTGGGTTTGTTCCATGCACCCAAGATAAGAGACTGTTAAAGGGGAAGAAGAAGAAGAAAAAAAAAATATATATATATCTGTAAAATTTGTGTAGCCATTTTTATTTAAGCAACTAAGTCTAACTCACTGTAGGGATTTTAGACTCTGCAGGCTTGGAAAGCCTGAGTAGCAGTAGCATTTGTTACCGACCAAGATCCAGATTACTGCCATGGCAGGGATTCTAACAGAGGGTGTGGGATGGAGGTGGGGTTGTTTTCCTCTTTAGCAGATCAGCTGGGGAAACGACTGAGAAATTGCCCTTTGGCTTTGTTTTCAGCCTTGTTTTACTGAATGGATGGAGACGATGAAGGGATCTATAGTTCTAATAGATTTAATATTCAAGACTAATATTCTACATTTCTTAGAAATCAACACCCGTGTTTTTTTATCCCCTTTTTTTGAAACATTAAAATTCAACAAAGCATACCTCGATTGTTTTTTAAAAGCTGTAAGTGCAGCATCTACATTCAGCTTACTGATTGCTACAGTACTGCATAAGCACAGCTCAGGGACTGAGCATTTCTGTATGCATCTGGTTTCAAGGGGCACAGGGCTAAGTCATGCTTCCCTGCCCTAAAGAGCAGTCTGTAGTGGGCAACAGAACAGCATCTACAGACAAGTGGCTCTTTCCCAGGACTCTGGCCAGTCTTACTTACCTATCGGATATGACCTACCAAAATTTCCAGAGATGAGAGCTTTAACACTTAATTGCAGTCACATATACATGTCAAACAAGCAATAATCTAGAATGAAAAGGAAGGTTGTTAGCCTTCATAAAGTGGCCTAGAATAAAGGGGGTGTCAGAAGGGTGCCTGACCCAGCTTTGTCTTCCCCTCAGTGTTTGCATCCAACCCTGTGTGAACCAACAGGGTTAGGACCACTGGGGTTTTCTTGAAAGGGTCCAACTAGACCAAGGAATCTCTAAATTCAGGCCTCTGCTGGAAATACCCTATTTCAATAGGAAGTTTTCTGTGACTCCCAAATTTCCCTTTACAATCCGTTCACTTTTAAAAAAACAACCTCAACAGGCTGACAAAGCCACCCACTGGACTTGGAGACTGAGGTTCTTAAAAGGCCTTTGTTGCAGCCAAGGCTTGCGTGAGTAGAGGGAGGGGTCTGCCGCAGCCTCATCTTGTCCAAACATTGGAGATTACCTATGGGCAGCTGGGAATCAGCCATGACCCAAATCATCTTAAAATTTTACATTCTCTACTATAAAGCGCACTTTCTTCTGAATTAGTTAATACACAAGAAATTTATCCCAGAACCAGGAAGTCTTCCTCACAATTAAAGAGCAGATTTGTGATTTTAACATTATTTTTTCTCACAGCATCATTGCCAAACCTGCATCAAGGCTTCCAAATATTTTTTCTTCATTTATTTGAAAGGCAGAGAAACAGTGAGCAAGATAGAGATCTCCCATCCACTGGTTTATGTCCTAAATGCCTGCAACAGCCAGAGCTATGCCAGGGCAAAGCCAGGAGCCCAGAACTTTAGTATCCCACATGGGTGGCAGGGACCCAGCTATCAACCTGCTGTCTCCCAGGATGTGCATCAGCAATAAGCTGGAACTGGAAGCATTTGGAACTTGAACCCTGGAACTCTGATTTGGGATGCAGGTGTGCCAAGTGGCATCTCACCCACTGCACCAAACACACACTGCCATAGTGCTTCCAACTTCTTTTAAAGAGTTATTTGAAAGAGTTATCACCCCATGGCATGGTAGGTTAAGCCTCTGCTTACAGCGTTGACATCCCATATGGGCACCGGTTTGAATCCCAGCTGCCCTACTTCCAATCCAGTTCCCTGCTAATGGCCTGGGAAGGCAGCAAAGGATGGCCCAAATTCTTGGGCCCCTGCAACCACATGGGAGACCCAGAAGCAGCTCCTGGCTCCTGATTTTGGATCCGCCCAGCTCTGACTGTTGCGGCTGTTTGCGGAGTGAACCAGCAGAAGCAGCCCTCTTTGTCTCCCCCTCTGTATAACTGTAACCCTGTAACTCTGCCTTTCAAATAAATAAATCTTTTCAAGAAATAGGAAAAGATAGATCTTCTGCTCAATGGTTTACTCCCACAATGGCCCCAACAGCCTGGGTTGAGACAGGCTGAGGGTAGCAGTCAGGACCTTCACCTGGGTCTCCCATGTAGGTGCAGGAGCCCACTTAAGCCATCTTCTGCGTCTCCCAGGCCATTAGCAGGGAGCTAGATGGGAAGTAGAGCAGCCGGGGGACACACCAGTGTCTATGGGATGCCAGCATCGCAGGTGGCAGCTTTACTCTGACACAACAGTCCCCGCTTCCAAATTTTAATGGCTTGTTTCCCAAACATTTCTGAGCAGCTCCCAAAAGATCTTGCCCCTTCAGTAATTAGGGCAGCTCCTTTTAAGGATGAAACCATGTGAAAAACTGTTGGATCCAGCAGCTTATACCTGGTCCAGCACCATCACAGATGGTCTCTTCCTTTCTCTGGGCATCATTCCCGCTCTACTCTAGCCCTCCTGGCTATGGATACAATCATGAAAAATTCCATCACATTACTTTAACATTATTAAAACAAACCACTGTTACATACCTGTTAATTCCAGAAACAATGATCAGCCTATTGCTTGACTGTCTGAAATGCATTAGATGCATAAATTAGAAGATGAGTTATGATAGAGATATTTAATTGGAAATTGGGGCCTCCTAGCATTCAGGAACAAGACAAGATTAAACAGGGAAAACCCCTGTCTATAGCCCTCTAGTCCAGTTGGTTCTTAAGAAGTGCTGATAAAGGGGCCAGTGTTTTGGTACAGCCTGTTAAGCCACTGCCTGCAGCACTGGCATCCTGCATGGGTGCCAGTTCAAGTCCCAGCTGCTCCACTTCTGATCCGGTTCCCTGCTAACGTGCCTGGGAAAGCAGTGGAAGATGGCCCAAGCGCTTGGGCCCTTTGCACACAATTGGGAGACCCAAAAGAAGTTCCTGGATTCTGGCTTCATCTTTTTTTTTTTTTTTTTTTTTTTTTTTTGACAGGCAGAGTGGACAGTGAGAGAGAGACAGAGAGAAAGGTCTTCCTTTGCCGTTGGTTCACCCTCCAATGGCCGCCGCGGCTGGCGCGCTGCGGCCGGCGCACCGCGCTGATCCGATGGCAGGAGCCAGGAGCCAGGTGCTTTTCCTGGTCTCCCATGGGGTGCAGGGTCCAAGCACCTGGGCCATCCTCCACTGCACTCCCTGGCCACAGCAGAGGGCTGGCCTGGAAGAGGGGCAACCGGGACAGAATCCGGCGCCCCGACCGGGACTAGAACCCGGTGTGCCGGCGCCGCTAGGCGGAGGATTAGCCTAGTGAGCCGCGGCACCGGCCTGGCTTCATCTTTGCCCAGCCTCAGCTGTTGGAGCCATTTAGTGAGGGAACCAGTGGATGGGAGATCTGTCTCTGTAATCCTGCCTTTCAAATAAGTAAGTCAGAATTACTGAGAGAGATATATATTCCATCTACTGGTTCACTTCCCAAATGGCCACAACAGCCAGAGCTGGGGCAGGCCAAAGCCAGGAGCCAGGAGCTGCTTCTGGGTCTCCCATGTGGGGTGCAGGGGCCCAGGGACTTAGGCCATCTTCCGCTGCTTTACCAGGCACATCAGCAAGGAGCTGCATTAGAAGTGGAGCAGCTGGGATTCAAACTGGCAGCCATAAGGGATGCCAGTGCTGCAGAGAGCGAGAGCAGCTTAATCACTATACCAAAGCGCCAGCCCTGAGAAATCTTAAAAAACAAAAACTGAGGCCAGCACCATGGCTCATTTGGCTAATCCGCCGCCTGTGGCGCCAGCACCCCGGGTTCTAGTCCCGGTTGGGCTCTGGATTCTGTCCCGGTTGCTCCTCTTCAGTCCAGCTCTCTGCTGTGGCCTGGGAAGGCAGTGGAGGATGGCCCAAGTGCTTGAGCCCTGCACCTGCATGGGAGACCAGGAGGCAGCACCTGGCTCCTGGCTTCAGATCGGTGCAGCAGGCCAGCCATAGCAGCCATTTGGGGGGTGAACCAATGGAAAAAGGAAGACCTTTCTCTCTGTCTCTCTAACTCTGCCTGTCATAAAAATAAAAAAAATGAAAACAGAGAAACTGTATTGGCTAGCATTTGGTAAACATTCAGTAATTTACCAGAGTAGCAGCTGTCTTCCTTTTCAGCTCGGAAGAGGTGCTGTATCTCAGGATTACAACCTGACTGGAAATGTGGGATTTCAGCTCTTTATATAATTCCTTTGATATACAACTTAAACATGGGGGGAAAATACACTAGTCTTGGCTATTTTATGTCTAAGACCAATTCCACAAGGTAATAAACATGAAAGACATTTTATAGTTGAGAATAGACCTGACTACATAGGACCAGTTTCCTTAGTGGGAGAATTAAAAAAAAAAAAAAAAAAAGCTTACACTGATCCAGAAGAAACATGTACAGTAGCAAGCTGTATTTAGCAGGAATACAAGAGTTGTTGAGCAGGAAGATTAACTATAGGAAGTGTCTCCCTCTCTAGAAGCTCCAAACGGCTGTAGTATATTTAGAATAAGATGGATATTACACCAAAGATACCAGTCCCTGTTAACCATGCTTCTGCTCTTTTCAGGTTTAGGAGGTGTGAGCTAAGGGACACCTTAGAAGCCCCGAGTCCCTCAATCTGTGGGAAAGCTCAGATTCCTCTGTAGCCACTTCCACCAATCTTTGGAGCTGTGAAATGCGATGTCTCCCCCATCCCCACCCCCAGAGGAACTAACCTGGCCTGATACAGCTCCCAGGCCAGGCCTTTGCACCTCTGATTAGAAAACAGCTGCTGTCCAAACCAGTTCCACAGTGTGACTGCCAAGTGCCAAGCCCAGCCCTCGCCACTGGGGAGCAGCCTCTCTGTCCAGAAGCCTGCACTAATTGTCATGGGATTCTTGGGGGCTACACTCTTATGCTGCAGAGGAACCAACTCCAGCTTGGCCTCTGCATTCAGAAGATGCCAGTGGTGATGGAGCCGAGTTGTTCTAGAACATTGTTTTTCAGACTGGTTGATGAAATCTATTTGATCTGTGATCA